GGATGGCACAGAGTCTAGGATGTAATAAATGATGTATTGATGTCATGTTACATTATACAGTAGCATGATATAAATCTGTTTCTAAACATGACCATCGTATGCAGCCAAATCACCCAGGAATTCCTCTGCTGCTGTAAGAAACTCGTATCACAGTGGTATGAGATTGTCTCATAGAAGAAAAAGGCAACTCCACGTGTATTGCCAGAGACCTAAGCTCTGTGGGGCATTTGTCTGCAGAGATGGCGAGAGGCTGGGGAGGCCTCCCTCAAGCTCACAGCAGGAGGCTGTGAGATGTGTTTATCTGATGGTTGACTTTGCCATTCTGGGCTCTTCGTTCCTGAGCTCCTCCTCTTCCCCACCTCTTCGCCTGAGAACACGTAATGAATGAAGAAAGACTGAGTAGGGGAAGACTCCTTCATTGGCGTTACTTTGTGCTGGGCCCTGCAGGCACAGAGCCAAAGAGGTAGGGGCTCTGTCTTTCTCGCCTCCTGGATTTTCAACAAATACAGCCTAATGTCAGCCAGTAGTGGCAGTCATTGTCGTCTTGTTCAGTCTTTTTCTCATGCTGTGGCGATCCTGTGACCTGCAGTATAATACTGAACAGAAGTGAAGATGGCATCTTTGTTACGTTTTGAACTCCAGAGGGAAGGTTGGTTTGCTGTGGACTTTGGGGAGGTCTCCTTATAGATTTCCTACCAAATTAAGATATTTCCTTCCATTCCTAGCTTTTGCATTTTAAAAATATCTTGAATGGGTATTGAATTTTATTAAATGCTTTCCTTTACATCTTTGAGATTGTCATAATTTTTTTTTTAGTTAAATTGATTTTCAAAAACATAAACCTACTTTATTGAGATATAATTTGCACACAGTGAAAAGCATTCCTTTTTTTTTTTTTCTTTTTGTGAGACAGAGTCTCACTCTGTTGCCCGGGCTAGAGTGCCATTTCATCAGCCTAGCTCACAGCAACATCAAACTCCTAGGCTCAGGTGATCCTTCTGCCTCGACCTCCTGAGTAGCTGGGACTACAGACATGCGCTGCGCCACCATGGTTGGCTAATTTTTTCTATATATTTTTAGCTGTCCAGCTAATTTCTTTCTATTTTTAGTAGAGACGGGGTCTCGCTCTTGCTCAGGCTGGTCTCCAACTCCTGGTCTGAAATGATCCACCAGCCTGCGCCTCCCAGAGTGCTAGAATGACAGGCATGAGCCACCGCGCCCGGCCAGCATTCCTTTGACGTTATGGGCATACCTTGCTTTACTGTGCTTTGCAGATACTGTGGGATATTTTTTTAAAACAAATTGAAGGTTTGTGGCAACCCAGCTTTAAGTAACCAATCCACATCATTCTTCCAACAGCATGTGCTTACTTCATGTTTCTATGTCAGCATTTTTAGTAATAAATTATTTTTTAAATTAAGGTATTAATATGTGCATTTTCTGTAGACACAATGCTATCGCATACTTAAGAGACTACAGTATAGTGTGAATATAACTTTTTTATGTACTAGGAAACCAAAAACTTTGTGTGACTGGCTTTATTTTGATACTCCCTTTATTTTGGTGGTCTAGAGCCAAACTTGCAATATCTCCGAAGTATTCCTGTACATATTACAGTTCTGTGAACATTAGAAACGTGTACACAAACCACCACAATCAAGGTGTAGAACACACCTTCAACCCCAAAGCTCCTTCTTGCCCCTATGCAGACAATCCTGCCACCCCGTCCCTGAGCAGCCCAGATGACCTGCTTTCTGTCAATGTAGATCAGTTTTTACCTCTTAGAGAATTTCATATAAGTGGGATCATTATCATCATATAGATATCTCCTGTGTCTCTGGCTTCATTCCCTGGGCATGTTTTTAAGATACAGTCATCAAGTTGCATGTAGCAGTGATTCATACACTAGAATGAAACCATTACGTTGTGTGGCTCTGCCATAATTGCCCATTCACCAGTTGATGAACATTTGAATGTTTGTTTCCAGTTTGGTGCTGTTGTACACATGTACACAAGTGTCTGTGTGGATATGTGTTTTCGTTTCTCTTGTGTAATCACCAGGCACTGCTAATGGTGTGGTAGAAACTGCCAAACCTTCCCCCAAAGTGGCGGCATCCTTTGCCTTCCCAGCAGCAATGTGTAAGACCCCAGCTCCCCACCCCCCACCCCTTGATATTGTTGGTCTTTTTAATGGTAGTCAATCTATTGGGTGTTTGTGGTTTTAGGAGCATTCCCCTAATGATTAGAGAAGAACTTCCTTTAAGGTGCTCGCTGGCCCTTTGTGTATCTTTTGCTCTTTTTCAAATCATCTTATTATTCATCTTGTTGAGTTGTAAGATTTTTTTTTTTTTATAGTATGTACACATGTCCTTTGTCAGATACATAGTTGTGTGTTTTTGGAATATTTTGTCCCAGTCAGTTGCTCACCTTTTCCTTTTTAAAACAGTGTCTTTTGAAAAGTAAATGTTTTTCATTTTAGTGGTCTGATTTATTGATTTTTTTCTTTTATAGTTCATAGTTTTTATGTCCTAAGAAATCTTAGTCTATCCCAAGGTTCATGGAGATTTTTCTCTTATCTTTTTTTCTAGAAGTTTTACAGTTACAGCTTTACTTTAAGTTTATAATCTGTGTTAATTAGTTTTATACTGTTAAACTCAGCCTCTCATTTCTGGTATAGACTGAACTTTGACATGGTGTGTATTTTTTTTAACTAGTTGCCAGACCCAGTTTGTTACTATTTGTTCCAGTGTCTGAGTTGCTTGGTGGGTTGACCAATGACCCCACTTGGTGCTCACCTCCTCAGGCCTCAAGGTGAGATTTTGTAGCCTCCTAAAATGAGTTGGGAGTGTGCCCTCCTATTCTCTTCAGGATGACTTTGAATTCAGTTGGAATGATTCTTTCTTTGGATGTGGGTGGAATGCCCCCAGAGTCTTGGCCAGGACGACGGCGCCCTTCAAGGGTGGCGACCTTAAAGGTCTGGACAGTGTGGAGGAAAGAGCCGCCTTGCACGAGGGCCATGGGGCACACCTTGTCGTGGGCGTGGGCTGCACAGCGCAGTTTGGGGAGATCTGGGGTGAGTGCGCCATGGCTGTGAGGTGGGGTGGCAGAGGTGGGAGCTGGCTGTGCGCTGGCTGCCCCGGGCTGTGGCCGGCCCAGGCCGGGTCCCCCTGGGCGGTGTCAGAGGCCCGTGCCTCTCCGTGGAGGGTGGAGCCTTCCCAGCGGCAGGCTCGCTCAGACCCAGGTGGTGAGCGGGATCCCGAGAGACCCACCGCCTGCGTTCTTGTTGTTGGGAGTCAGTGGACAAAGCCTTCTAGGCTAGCCTGCCTCGGATTGTGGGAAGGGAATGGATTGCCCCGCTGCATTCTTGCTTCCTAAGGGACGACAATGGCTCTGCCTGGGAGAAAGACTGTTCAAGCCACGGTGGAACACGGCTCAATCCCACCTCCTCATGGAAGTGTATCCTGTGTTCTCCCCTCCGCTGCCCCACCTCCCCTGCCACAGAATCCCTCCTCTCCCCTGCATGGCCCTTGGCTGCCATTTCCTGACGGAAGACTGAGGCGGTCTGTTGGTGCTCCGCGTGCTCCCCGAGTGGGCCTCTGTGCGGAGCCCGGCTCCTTGTGTGTGTGTGTGTGTGTGTGTGCGTGTGTGTGTGTGTGTGTGTGTGTGTGTGTGTGTGTGCGCGCGCGCGTGCTTTACAGGCGGTGTGTGTGCGAGCCAGGTATTTGGCTTGCTGAGCTGACAGGCCTCCACACCACCCTGAACGCGGAGAGTGCTGTGCCAGGTGGGGCCCTCTTTCCACAGAAAGGGGGCGGGCAGGTGGGCGGGAGCCCCTGGGAGTCTGGTCACCTGTAGAGCGTGTTTCTGGAGTTGGGTGTGGGGCAAGGGGAGGTCGCGGGCTCCCTTCTCAGGGGTTGTAGCAGAGCAATGTGGGTTCAGCAGGCTCCTGCTGCTCTAATGCCTGAGGACTGAACCGCACCCACGCCTCAGGCCCTCACAGCAGTGGTCCCAGCCTTTCTGGCACCAGGGACCAGTTTTTCCATGGGCCAGGGCTGGGAAGGGATGGTTTCGGGATGATTCAAACATGTTACATTTACTGTGCACTTTATTTCTATTATGATTACATTATAATATATAATGAAAAGATTGTATAACTCGTCATGATGCAGAATCTGATGCTGCCGCTGGTCTGACAGGAGGCGGAGCTTAGACGGTGATGTGAGAGGAAGCTTGGCTTGCTCACTCTCCACTCGCCTCCTGCTGTGCGGCCCAGCTCCCAAGAGGCCACGGGCCGGTACCAGTCTGAGGCCCAGGGGGTGGGGACCGCAGCCTCACAGCAACAGACATCCATTTCACACTCGTGGCTCTGCAGGCGGGCTGCGGTTTGGCTGGGCCCACTGGGTCAGGCTGGGCTGGGTTGGAATCAAGTTCAAGGTCTTTATTCTGGAGCCCCAGTGGAAGGGGCAGCAGTACTTGGCACACCTTCTTCTAGCAATGACAGGAGCCAAAGGGCAGGCCAGCCTCACAAGCGCCTTGGCAGGGGTTGCACAGCATGTCCTCTGGCCAACTCCAGTAGCCACACAAGGCTCACAGCTGAGCCCTGCCCAGGTGTCATGTGGCAGGGTTGCAGCTCCTGTGCTCAGTGGGGCTCCTACATGGTCCACGGCAGAGGCATGGGGAGCAAATCCCACAGCTGTGGAACCAGAATCTCACCAGTGCTTCTCCTCAGTGCCCCTGGGGAGTTCTGGAAGTATCTGTCATTTGTGTATGTGGCATATAAAATGCCTGGCACTTAGCAAGTTCTCCGGTGTTTGTGTGACTGAATAAATGAGCAAAACCCACATACGGTTCTAGTTTGATTCTTTACAGAAGAATTTTGAAAGTCAGTTACCAGAAGGAGCCACAGGTCTTACAAATTGCTTAAAGACCAGTGTCAGAAAAATGCCATCCTATGTGCCATTTCCCTGGTTTTACTGATGTTCTGCCTTAATTCTTTGTTCCAGGGAAATAGTGGAGCATATGGTCCAGCACTTTAAAACACAGATCTTTGGGGATCGGAAACCAGTGTTTGATGGGAGGAAGAATCTGTACACAGCCATGCCCCTTCCGATTGGGAGGGATAAGGTAAGCTCACGGGGGTGTGCCGGGATGGGGGCTGTGCAGAGAATTGAAGTTCAAACGTGATGTAAAGTCAGTGATTCCTCTTCCCACACACTGACCCCCTTCACCTGGGAGGAGCCAGCAGCTCATTGGCCACGTGCTTCACCCTGAGACCCATAAAAACTACTTTCCCAGTGTTGTGGTTTTCAATGATGGAGGGTTAACTAGTCGAGGTCCAGACACAGATAATGAGAACTTCTTGAAACCACCAAACTTTTAAGTAGAAAATACACACACACCCCTGCAAGCCACAGACCACCACCAGGCGAGAGCCTAGATTACGCAGTGGAATGCTAGAGACCCACGGAAATGTGTCCGCGTGGGGTAGGTGTGGGCGCCTGGAAGTCCATGACAGTAGAGCCAAGTCACCGAGCTGCTGTAGCCAGTGATTCATCTGGAATCAGGATGCTGACAATTAGTCAGCCGCAGTGCAGTGGCTATATTAAAATGTCACCTTTTCTTCTTATCTTTATCGTGGCTTTATTGAAAAAGTAATAAAATTTCTGCTTGGAAGTTGTCACTTCTTGGCACCATCTTTCAACAAATGTGCTGCTCCAGGGTGAGAATGGGTGGGGTTTGGGTGTAGAGGGAGAGCAGAGACCTGGCTCAGAAATAATCCCTGCTCATACTTTAAAAACAAATAAAACAACCAGTAATTTAACAACTGTGAGGATAGAAAAGCTGATTTCCTTGGGGAATGACCTACACGTTAGCTTCCTAAACCCCGGGTCCTCAGAAGGAGGCTAGCTCGGTACCCCAAGAGTCTCGAACTGCTGGCAGGGACACACGTTTTCGGGGGTGGATAAGGGGTCTGCAGGCTTTGTCTACAGACATTAAAATGGTTTTGCTTTTGCATTTTAACGATAATCTTAAGACATGTAAGTACTTTTCAGCCTTTCTGGGTGGCCAGCAGGGCGGGGATCTTGGCCGCAGTGGTCCTGCTCGGGGTTGTGGTGCTCTGACAAGAGGAAAGGCTGTGACTGAGACTCCGCACCAAGCTATCTCTTGGGTTGTCACTGCCAGCCCATGGTGACAGCCATGGTGTTCCCTACTGGAGAAATCCTAGATCTGTGTGTGTTTCAGCTGAGCAGGACTACCCCTTGCAGACTAACATGCTGCGAATTTGAACTGTACAGATTTTAAAGTTTTGTGTTTAATTCGCACATTTGTTTTTGCCTAAAATTATGTAAGAGAGAAAAGCATTAGGAGTTTATTCACGCTCTTGTCTGTGCGTATTTGTAGGTGGACCCAGGAGGGGCACAGGGATAGATTTCCTTAAGAGGGGCTGGGGGAGCCTCGCATTCAGATCTGAGCCGGGTCGTTGAAGACATGGACGGCACAGAGGCTCTGGGCTGAGCCAGAATCTGGGCGCGCGTCCTCGCCTCACCCTTACTGCAGTGGAACTGTAGGTGTGCGGCCTCACCTGTGCAATGAGAGAGTGCGATGGAAACCGCCTCCCAAGGTCTTTGTGAGAACTAAATGATCCAGCACAGCCTAGAGGAACTCTCCACCCCCGCCTGTGTGTGTGCCGTGTCCCGACCCGCTGCCACTGCTGCTGGTCTGCAGGCCACACCGAGCACTGCGGGCTAGAGCGCATCGCCACGGTGCCCGGGGTGTGCCAGGCACTCACAGGCCCCGGAGATGGCAGGAACTGGTCCGGCAGCCTCGCTGGTGGCCAGAGCAGCCTTCTGGGGTACCTAGGCACCCGAGGAGCCCTTTAGACGCACAGCCCATGCCAAATGGGCGCTCAGTGCCTCTGAAGCTTAATCCCAGCCGTCCTTTCTTGAGATGAAACACTCGAGTCCAGAGGTTAGAGAGCCTACACAAAGCCTCCAGGTAGATAGCACAGGGTCCCCTGATTCCAGACCACGCTCCTTCACCATTTGTGGGGTTCTGTCAGATGTCTGTGGTGTGCAGACATTAACCCCTCTGCGAGCCCAGGTGAGGAGGCGTCCCCTGTCCTGTGCCCATACGTTCACACGAGGCAGCCAAGTGCCATCTCAGGGGGTTCTTTGCGTTGGCCCTTTTCTCTGTGAGGTGACTTTTCTGTGCGTCGCCTGTGGTGCGAGCAGAAGTGTCAGTGCTCTGTTGTCCCAGCGTCTGCTGACAGGCAGGACGGGGATCTGGGCGGCTCTCCCCCAGGTTGGCGCACAGAGGGGCCCGAGTTGCGCCGCCCTCACTCTGGAAGGTCCCTCTTTAAGCCCCTCTTAATCTCTCCCATGAAAACACTGGCCTCACTCCCAGCCCCTGCGTAGCAAGAGAGACCATCGCTGTTATGGCCCGGAGACCCCGTGAGCACCCAGGGCCCCCCCACCCCCACCCCAACCCCCGTTTCAGAGCAGGAGGCTGAGACCCAGGCAGCTGTCCAAGTCGATCCACATTTTGGGTTTAACTCCTGGGTCTTTCCTGGCAGTAATGAGGTGTGATCTGTGTTGTCTGTTGTCTCTGGCTCTGAGTCCAGCCTTGTGCCTTCCTTGTGGGGTACCCAGAAAGGCCTGCCGCCGCCTGGAGCTGAAACCTGTCTGTTAGAGCGTGGGTGTCTCCTTCTTAGTCGGAAGTTAGGGCAGATGCACAGCTCAAATCAATAACATACCCTGCTGGAAGCAATTTACTGTGGAGCAAGTCAGCCACATGGAAAATTTTCTGCAAAAGGAGGCGGGTTGCCTGGCACTCCTGCCTGTCCACCTCTGCATAGGCTTGGCCATGCGTGGCCATAGGCGCGCCCAGCTGGTACCTGCCGACCTGACATAGGAAGCCAAGGGAGGGCAGGCAGAGTAGGGGAGATGCTCAGGAGGCACAGCGGGGTGGAGGGATAGGGGCTTCTCCTTGGATGGCACATAGGGGAGCCTCTGCTCACCTCTGGGGCTGATGTGCTGCCTCATGGGGCTGAGGTCCCTCCAGTGCAGCCCCAGCATTTGTCTATGTGCCTTGACCCAAGCCCGTCCCAGTGCAAGGTGCTCAGGAAGTGCCTGACCACACAGCCACCGCCTGTACCTGCTCTGTTGCCTGCCAGCCCAACTTTGAATGCCCCATACACTCTGCAGACGTGCTGGGTGAGACTGGTTTTTATAGTAGGGTGTTTTGCAGGGACAATGATCTGCTTTTTGAGGAGAGTTTTTGCTATGCAGAATCACAGAATGCCTTTAGACATCAGCTCCCTGGGCACATTTAAACAGACGTGACCTGCATGTACCCCTCTGGAAAGGGCCTGTGGCACCGAGCCTGGCAGCTGTCGCCTTGGCCAGGACTCTGGCAGGCACAGTGGGTGTGACTGCTCTCTCCGCAACCCTGGGGAGGGCCACGTCCGGGTCCTGGTCCTCGGGGACCAACCAGACGTGCCTGCCAGTGCCACGCTCCCACCTTCGAGGTGGAGGATGGGAGGCTAGGGGCTTCTGCCGGCGCCACAGCCGAGTTTAGGGCAAGAAAGCCCTTTTGAAGCGCAGCTGTTTCTTTGAGCTTTCTCTCTGGGCTTCATGCACAATTTCTTTGTGTTCTTTAAAGTGCTGTTTTCCCTTTCTTTGTTTCTGAGTTGTGCATTGGAACCAAAACAGAAATCTTCCTATTACAGTTTTAATTCTCTCATCCTGATGATTTTCAGAGGGAGTTTGGGGTTAAGCGTGTGGTCTCTCTGGAAAGATTGGATTTCACAACTGCCTCAACGTTTTCCAGGCCCTGGGTGGGGGCCGTGGACTGACGTTTTCCGTGGTCTGGTTCAGAAAATGGCAGTTGTGGCATCTCTAGATCCCAGACGGCTATTCACAGAGTGCTGGAGTCCATGGCCGGCACGAGTGCTCCGCAAGGCGGGCGAGGCCACAGCCATGTGCCCTCATGTACAGAAGGGGCCTGAAGGAGCTGCCTGCCCAAGGTCAGACCACAGGAGGCTGCAAAGCCGGGGGTCGAGCCCTCGTCTGTGCACTCCTAGTCCCGTGACCATTGGATGTTGTGTCATTGGAACTGGCAGCTTCAGGCTGTTCCGAGATGGATGTGTGTCAGGTGTGGAGCAACTGCTGGCCAGCAGCCGGGTTGCACACGGGGGCTACTTTACAGAGAGGCACGTGCCACTCTGGCCTCGCGGTGTGGTGGCTGTGCTAAAATCTCCACTCATGCCCCATCCACCGTGCATGTGCTCAGCCAGCTGCTGTGGGCACCGTGATTGGCAAAGAGCATTGCAGAGCCTGGGTGGCTTGCGGTCCTGTGGCAGCCAAGAGGAGGCTGGACCAGAATATATTTTAAAATTGCATATGTTTTGCTGTAGGAAAATATACTCCTTGGAATTCCCCCTCAGTTTTGATTACAGAAGCGTTTTTGAAGGAGAGCATGAACAAGCATCTAATTAGTGCCAATTCACAGCGTTATTGTTTAGGTACGTCGAGTGCTGTTTGGTGGAGATGTGCACAATGGGCTTAAAGTACCTACTGGCGAGGTGGGTATGTAATTTAGAAATTAGTGAGTTGGTTTCCATTCACGTGCCCACTCCCACCTGCGAGCTGCAGCCCTGGGGGGCCATTTCCGGATACGTGGGTCAGCCCTCACTCTTGCCTGCCACCAGTGACTTCTGTCGTCACACCTAGCTCCCTGCTAGTCCCCTGGAATCACACCCCCACGCCCAGCCAAGCCGCTGGTCCTGGCACGTCAGGCTTCCTCTCCTTTTCTAGAATCAGACTGTTTTGGGGGTGGACACTTCTCTCTTTTCGCTTTCTGCCACGTGGCCTGGACTCTCTGGATCTGTTTCTGTAACTGAAAGTAAAGTTGGGCACCAGAATGGCATGAGTAATAGCTCACCACTAGTCAAGTGAAATAATGCCTGTCACTTTCTTAGTTCTATGTCAGATATTTGCTTTTGGTTACTGTTACCTTTTTTTGGAGATAGCATAAGACTGCAGAGGGCTGGAGTGCAGAGGCAAGATCACAGCTCACTGCAACTTTGAACTACTGGGCTCAGACGATCCTCCTGGGTAGCTGAGAATACAGGCATGCACCACCATGCCTAGCTAGTTTTTTTGGTTTTTTGTTTTTTTTTTTACTATTATTATTATTATTTGTTGAATGAATGGGGTCTCAAAATATTGCCCAGACAGGTCTCAAACTCCTGACCTCAAGTGATCCTTCTGCCTTGGCCTCCAAAAGTTCTGGGATTATAGGCTTGAGCCACTGCACTGGCCTTTTATTACTTATAACTTTTATATGACTTATTTCAAATTGTATTAGGAAATACACTAAATGAAAAAAATACATATATACAGTTGACCCTTGAACAATGCAAGTGTTGGGGTGCTGACCCTGCACAGTCAGAAATCCACATATAACTTTAGATTCCCCCAAAACTTAACTACTAATAGCCTACTGTCGGCCAGAAGCCTTACTGATAACGTGAACAGTTGAAGAACACATATTCTGTATGTTATACATAATAATATTATATATTGGACTCTTATAATAAACCTAGAGAAAAGAAAATGTTTCTAAGAAAATCGTAAGGAAGAGAAAATATATTTTCTGTCCGTTAAGTGGAAGTGGATTTGCATACAGGTTTCATCCTCATTGTCTTCACATTGTCTTGCTTTCTCAGAGGTGGTGGAGGTATAAGAAAATCTGTGTGTTAGTGGACACTCATGGCTAGTGTCAACTGTACACATACATTTAAAGAGGAGTGATGAAGCAAATTCCACATACGCACTATCCGGGCCACGAAGTTCCCTCCTCCCTCCTGCGCAACCACGGTCCTGATGGACATGGGTTTTATCAGCTGTGAGCTTCTGCCATGTTTGTTATCTTCTCTCTGGTTTTGAAGTCTGAAACAAATCAAACTGTAGCACCCTTTTGTGCCTTGCTACTTTTACTTGGTATCAGGTATTTGAGGCCACCGAGCTGAAGGATCTGTTCCTTTTTCCCTGCTCTTGTCTTTCCGTCATCCTGGGGCCCCCGCCAGACCAGGGCCATCAGGTGCTCTGCGTGCCCTCGAGAGAGGGAATGTGCGGGAGCAAGCCCGGGATGGACGAGAATGATGCCTCCGTCCGGGGCAGGTGTGCAGTGACGCCACCAGAGTCTGGTTGTTGCGCTCATGAGGTCCGAGCAAGGCATGACAGGTAGCCCAATCTGTGCAGAGGCCTTGCACGATGAGCAGATGGGAGTTGAATAGGCATGGTGGGCACGTTGGTGAGCCGCGAATGTGCCTGCTGTGGCCAGAGAACACTTGCCCTGGGCGTGCAGGCCGAGGCAGGGAGGGCGTGCCGGACAGCACGGGTGGGGGAGGCCGGGCGCTCGGGGTGGAGCCCTGCGTCCGTGTTGCGTGGCTCCACTGCGAGGGCCTCATCACCTCGGGTCATCAGGTATGGAGTGGAAGTCCCTTTTACATCAGACTAGCCTGGTTCCAAATCCCATCCCTGCCCTTTTGTGGCTCTGGGCTGTTTTTTAAGTCTGTGGTTGTGTTTTTATGTATAAAAAGTGGCAAATAAATTTTCTCGTGCTGGGATTTCTGGGCATTTAAAGACAAAGTATATAGTCCATAACCTGTCGAGCAGACGTTCTGCAAACACTGGGAAGCATTATCGGCAAGTACCAGTTGCTTCAGTCACTGCCTGTGTGGGGTCCGTGTGGCCACGTGTTCAGGACGTGCTGAGGGCCAGGTAGCGGTGAACGTGCAGGCTCTAGCATCGGAGTGAAGGGCGGTGCAGGTGGTGAGGGGAGGGGGGATTTAGCGGCTGAGGAAGAGGGAGGAAGTGGATTCACTGCGTAGACTTGAATCAAGAGGGCATGTTTCAGACTGCTGCACGCTGGCCACCAGCCATACATGGCTGCGTAAGTTTAAATTCATCCAAGTGAAGTTAAAATTCAGAAAACTGGTCACATTTCATGTGCTCAGGAGCCCCATGTGGCCAGTGGATGGGGAAACAACTGGACAGAATTCCCTAGCCCACACGTGTCTGGACGCTAACCACCACCTGGCTCAGCCTTCCCGGCAGCTCCCCAGGCAGGAATAACCTCGTGTGCTTTGGGTCCCTTGCAGGTGGAGCTGGAGGTCACGCTGCCAGGAGAAGGCAAAGATCGTATCTTCAAGGTGTCCATCAAGTGGGTGTCCTGCGTGAGCTTACAGGCGTTACACGATGCACTTTCGGGGCGGCTGCCCAGCGTCCCTTTTGAGACGATCCAGGCCCTGGATGTGGTCATGAGGCACTTGCCATCCATGAGGTGAGGAGGCCAAAGGGCTGAGAGCATCTGCATCCAATCCCAACATACCCAGAAAGTATGAACCCTTAGTCCAAGGAAGAGCTGGTTCTTGGGTCAGGGTGGTGGCAGTCCTGTAGGGTTTCTGCCGTGGAGATAATGAACAGTGCTGAGATGCAAACGAATTCTAACATAAGATAAGTCACCTGCATTCCCGGCCTGGCACAAAGAGGTCACCTCCCTATCTGTGTACATTGGCGCGTTCATTGTCCACGTAGCCGTGTGTCGTCAGCACTGTTCTGTTTCTTTGTTGCCTTCATACTCAGGACTGGTGTTTATAGTGAAACTCTGTTCCTAGTACCAGATGGCATGTAGTGTGCCACATGCAAATGACCATGGCCACCAACTTTTCATGACCATGGTTAATGCCGTATATTCTTTGGGCTCCTTTTTTTTATTCTGTGGGATTACTCTTTTACCGTAAATTGCGACAAACGTATATTCTTCAGGCTCCTTTTTTTTATTCTGTGGGATTACTCTTTTACCGTAAATTGCAACAAATGAAATTGTTACACATGAAATTGCTAAACGAGGTAAGCATTTTAGTGGCTCATAATCTTCCCAGCTGTTGGGCAGAGGGTTGTGCTGGTTTCCTGGGAGACTCCTGGTCGTAGGGACAAGGCCAGCTCTGCACATCCAGCCCTCGGGTTCCTGCCCTGGAATGCCCGTCCTCATGCTGGCACTTAGGACCTCAGGAGTGATGTGAATAAGCAAGGAAAAGAACAAAAGCCTACAGCTGAAGCAAATCTGCACACTGACAGACCTCCAGGACTGACCAAGACTGTTAAGATTCAAGGAGAAAGTCAAGGCTTTCTTTGTAACCACAAAGAAGGGATTTTGAAGCCTCATGTAATACTTAGAGGAAACCGTGCATTCTGTCTTCAGGCTTGGGTAGAAATAACCAAAAATAGGACATGATGTCACTCCTGGTAGGAATGCCCCCAACCTCGGTGTATGATCAGTCACTGCTTTGAGCTATTGGTGGCAGGAAGGCCAATGAGTGCCAAGGCAGTCTAGAAGTCTGGTTGCCAAAATGTTGTCTACTTTTTTAAATTGAGTGGCAGGAACGACTGTGGTTCTTCTTTTTTGAATTCCTGTGGATTATTTACATTAATTTTAGAATCGGGGGAAACTGCTAATTCATTTTCGAAAAACAGACTCAGAATTAATCTATTTCAGGTGGAAAGGGAAAAGGGCCATCTAGGTGGTTTTATTAACAGTGCAGGCCACATGTGGGTGGCATCATGGCTAAAGGGTACTCATTCCCTTGGGACTCCTCGGCCGTGGCACTCGGGCAGCCAGGCCCTGTGTGTCAGTGCACCGGAGAGATCGTGCTGGAGAACGAGTCTACTTGGGTCAGGTGGGCTCCAGCCCAGGTTGCCGCGTGGTCCATAACTGGCCCTGCAGAAGTGCGTGAATCCTCTCCTGCTGGCCTCACTGTCCCTTGCACGTGAGCCCTCAGTGCCTGGTGCAGAGGAGACACTGCATACCAGGAGTTGACCCAAACAGGGAACAAATGCTGCATCCCACGTGTCCGTGACCTAGAAACACACCGGGGCTCACGGGCCTGGGCCTCCCGGTGTGGGGCATTCGGCCTCTCTTGCTGCTCCTGCAGCAAGGCCATGGGTCCCCAAGGCTGTGTGTACAGCGTCCCTCAGCAGGCCGTGCACAGAGGCTGGAGTGCAGTGTAGTAAAAGTCATTTTATAAAGAGGGAAAAAGAACTCTTGATGTGTGTGTGTGCCTGTGTGATTGACGAGGGTGGAGAGCGGGCGTGGAGTGGCCTGTCCCTTCCCGAAATTGCATCTGATCTGGTCTCTTGGCTCCAGGTACACTCCGGTGGGCCGCTCCTTCTTCACTGCGTCCGAGGGCTGCTCCAACCCTCTTGGTGGGGGCCGAGAAGTGTGGTTTGGCTTCCATCAGTCCGTCCGACCTTCTCTTTGGAAAATGATGCTGAACATCGATGGTAAGCAACACCCTGGGGTCCCAAGACCTTGGGGAGCACCGAGTGGCCAGCTTCGAACACAGCCTCCATCAAAGCCGGCGAGGCTGCATGGCACCTGGCCTGTCTCACCTGTGTGGTATCTGCTAGCGCAGGGTAGTACTCCTCAGAGGAGCACCGGAGCCACCTGGAGCACCCACCCCGGAGACCTGGCCAGTGGGACCACAGGGGGGCCTGAGGATCTGCCTTTGCATAAGTTTGCACGGCTGCTGCTGCTGCTGCTGGCATCCCCAGGGCAAGGTCTGGTGGCTGCTCCCAGGCATCCTTCCCCTTTATCTTGCAGGCTCATGTTCAGCCTGCATCCGAGGACTGGGCACCTGGCTGTGGTCCCACTAGCCACCTCTTGGGTTTGGGCGTAGCCTGTCCCCCGCGGGAGTCTCAGCTGCATCTCTGTGCTGGACCCCCACTTCCCTCTCTGTTAAAACCTTGAGAGTAAAGGTCAGAGAAGGACACTGTCTTCTCATTTGGGAATTAATTAATACGAAAAGCTCTAGAAAGGAATGAAAATGATTATCTGGCTCAGCTATACATTTATTGAAAAATAATTACATAAGAGGGGATGGTAAATTGCAGAAATATCTATACCAGAAGATAGAAAATCCTGCAAAATCCAATGCTCATGAACTTTTAGGTTTTGTTTTTCTTTGAAAAACTAGTTTTATTCTCAGAGGGTGACTTAATCTTTGGACTCGACCAACCCCTAACCACTGCCCCTGAGCAGGGAGTGCGGGCGACAGGGCCCGGCCTCAGCACCATTGGCTTTCCCGTCTCTGGAGCCCGAGGTCAGCGGCGCAGAGGGTGAAAACCTAGGCCCGATGCCACTGCCCCCCTCCCCCACCCCCATGGCGGCCGGCCAGCATGGCCCTGCAGCATCGGCAGGTGGTCGGCTCCGGGGTGAGGCCCCCCAGGTGTGGCCGTGCTTCACTCCTCGCCTCCTCCTTTTCTTGCCCACAGTGTCAGCAACGGCGTTTTACAAGGCACAGCCAGTTATCGAGTTTGTTTGTGAAGTTTTGGATTTTAAAAGTATTGAAGAACAACAAAAACCTCTGACAGATTCCCAAAGGGTAAAGTTTACCAAAGAAATTAAAGGTAATGACCTTCTTGGGCACCAGTCCAAGGGGCTGGGAGTGGTCCCCTCTGGGGTGCGTGTTGCGGGTTCTGGTCCCTGCGCATGTTCGTGGTGATAGAGATGGCAGGTGAATTAGCACAGAGCTGGGTTTGACCCATTTCACAGCAGGAACAACAGTTTCTGATAAGTACGACTTTGCGTAATGTGAGGGGCAGGTTGGTGAACAAGTAACGTCTGAGTCAAGATGCTGGGACTAGACATGCCCTTTTAGAGAGCCACAGCGGGTTATGACTGGCACTTGGTGATGTTCTAGAACGTGAGGTGCACTTTCATTTGTGGTCGTTGAAGCCCCACACAATCTGGGCAGGTGTGCGCCCCTATTCAGCCTGGTTTCCACACGAGCAAGTGCAGACCCCTGGCTGCAGGACCCACCTGGAGTCCTCCTGCCCATGGGTGGCACCAGGCGGGCGCCCATTGCTCTGTCCAAAACCCACACCCACCGCACCGCACCGCACCTGTCCTTTCTGAAGGCCATCAGCAGTGCCCGGTGGTGTAGTGATGAGCCCCAGGAGCACAGAACACCTCGGAGAGGACACCCGCACTCTAAGCTAGCCCTGAGTGGTCTCCTGTGTGTGTGGACACCGTTTCTTCACTCTGGTGGTCTTGGCCAAAAGTTCCGAGTTTCAGCTATTTCTCAGGTGAAAGGCATCCCTGTAGGTGACACGGGTCCTGCCGTGGTGTCCGTGGGGGCCCGGGTGTCAGCCCTCCTCGGGGGAGCCCTGCGGCTGCTCCAGCGCCCGTGTGACTCGGGTCTGTAGCCAGGGCCTGTGGGAGCGGAGCCTGCCCTTCATCTCGGGGCGAGCCCGGACGCTGAGGCCTGCCCTTCTCTGTCCCCAGGTCTAAAGGTGGAGATAACGCACTGTGGGCAGATGAAGAGGAAGTACCGCGTCTGCAATGTGACCCGCCGGCCCGCCAGCCACCAAACGTAAACCGCCTCGCTTTCACACTCCCTGTCACTCAGGTTTCCAAACACTGGAGCGATGGTTCTTCTGGAAAGGATCATCTCATTCTATTCTTGAATGCCAAAACTGTACCTTATTTGGCTCAGTAGATTTCAAACTTCACCTCATAAAATAAACTGAAATAATGAAATTCCACCCATGTGGTGGGTGGGGAGGACAGGGGTCCCTATCATGTTTCCTTCCTAAAATTCACAGGTGAGAGAAGGGTCTTTTGTGTGTGTTGCCCCATCCTTGGTGCTGGGGGGTGGCGCGAAGAGAGCTGAGCAATGGTGGAGGCCGCTGCCCCATCCTCCACCCCCTGGCTGATCTGCTGGGTGCTTCTGCCTTCTGCTGCGTGTTGTGTCGAGAACACAGTGTGGTATCCAGGTGCACGTAGCAATTAGCCTGGCTGTGAGAATGTTGTGATGTCTTATATATGTCATACATGTTCATTTTGGGGGGAAGTGATAGACTTGGTCCCCACGTCCCACCTGGGGTCTTCTGGGCACTTGGAGCCCTTGGCACATACATGACTTTCAGGATTACTGGTCTGCTAGAAGATGCACAGGCCTGGCTTCCTGGATTTGTCTTCGTTTGTCCTGAGTCCTTTTACGTATACTGTAGACATGGTGGATAATTTATGATTATTGTATATTATATATGTATAGGTATTTTTTATTTCTCACCTCCAGAGACAAAACAAGAATTTAGGATCTCAAGAATATTCCATTTAATCCAAAAGCTACGGTTTGGTTTTCACTCCCAGTTAGGACTTTGAATGATTGCTCCCCATACATCACCCTGAAAATGCAAGCACACCTAAGAGCAGCCCTGGGTACAGCGTGTGGGCGCTGGTGGTCTGTTACCACGGAGCCCTGGCAAGTTCTTGGCCTGAGCTGCCTCTCTGCTCCCAGGTTCCCGCTGCAGCAGGAGAGTGGACAGACGGTAGAGTGCACGGTGGCCCAGTACTTCAAGGACAGGCACAAGCTGGTTCTGCGCTACCCCCACCTCCCATGTTTACAAGTCGGACAGGAGCAGAAACACACCTACCTTCCCTTGGAGGCAAGTAACCCTTTTCCTTTGCACCTGCAAGGCTGGGAGCCCCAGAGTCAGGGCTGCATGGAGAACACCCACGCCCTGGCCCGGTGCGGCTGTCATCTCTGTGGCTGTAGGACCTTGGGTGCATTGCATTAATGGACTTTGTCAAGCCTCAGTTTTGTCTTTAATAAAATGGGATTCGTAGCTCCCGTGTAGGGTTAGTATGAGGATGGATTGAGATCGTGTACGCTATGCCCAGCAGGTCCCTGGCATGAGGAAATAAGTGCTCAATAAACACACTGTTTCTTCGTTCACTTTTTATCTAACTTTAAGACTGTTTGAAAAATCCTTGCCTTGGGAAAAGATGAAACACTGAAATCAGGCAATGCGTTTAATTCCTTTCCTTCAGTGTTTTAGGTTCTCAGACCTTTTCTAATCATTCTGGTAGAGCCCTCGCCCAGCAGGTAGACTTCTTTGCACCTGTGGCCAGTGTCGTGCTCACCTCTTTCACACTCATAGCCATTGAGGATAGAGAGAGTCCAGAGACTGTTGTCGGGACTGCCCTGGCCTGCCCACCTGGCAGGCTGGGCACAGAGGCTGTGGGATCTGTGTGTTCGTGGTACATTGGGGTTACTTAGGGGGTTCCGTTGTGACCAGAAGGCCATGGAGCACCACCACTGGCATTTGTGGGCGCTTCACAGCCCATGGACGAGGAGAAGAGCTGTTCCCAGTCATGCTGGGGCGCCAGCCCTCACCCTCTGCCTCAGAGCCTCCTGCTAGCCACTGGCCACCGGTCGTGCCCAGTGTGTTGCTGACGCATGTCTGCATCTTCACAGGTCTGTAACATAGTGGCGGGACAGAGGTGTATTAAAAAATTGACCGACAATCAGACTTCAACCATGATCAGAGCGACTGCTAGGTCGGCGCCCGATCGGCAAGAGGAGATTAGCAAATTGGTGAGTGTCGGTGCCGGGGTGGGGACCCATGCGTTAGACAGACGTAGCTGCTGGAAAGAACAAAGACCCCTTCTGACTCTGCTGCTTTCCCCCCTTTTCCAGATGCGAAGTGCAAGTTTCAACACAGACCCCTACGTGCGTGAATTTGGAATCATGGTCAAAGATGAGATGACAGATGTGACCGGGCGGGTCCTGCAGCCACCCTCCATCCTCTATGGCGGCAGGGTACGTGCAGGCCGCGGGCACACTTATGGGTGTCGGGTGCACGTCCGAGCCGCCACCCACGGCGCACACCATGTTCTGGGTTGGGGATTCTCTCAACTCCAGGCTGGACCTAGGATGTCATACAGAAATGACTTTCCTTGGTGGTTTTTAAATTTTTTCAGAATTATCTTTAATGTTTTCAGAAGTTAATTCTTATTATCCTATCAAAATTTAGGAAGCATCATTCTTCATGTGATGGGCACTCTACCAGTGTTGAATTACTTCCCAGAAGCCTGTACTGTTTTTCTATTCTTTACCTTCTGCTTGGTGGGTATTTGTTAGCAAACATAGCAGTTGGGATTTTTTTGTTTTTTGTTTCTGCCAGTTTTGCCTCTAGTTTCCATCAGCGGGCACATGCCCAAAGGTGTCGGGACTGCTGAGTGCGGCAGTGCGCCAGAAGTCTCTCCCTCCACTGCCTCCCGGCGGGCTCTTGGGCACGGAGCTCAGCGCGCTGGGCGAGTGGGCGAGGGCTGGGGCGACCGCAGCAGGAGGGACGGCTGGGGCTGTCTGGGCGCCTTGGCATCAGCCTCTGCTCATCAGCCACGTGGGTGGAAGGATTCCACCTGACTCGGCACCCTTCTTACCTAGTGAAGTTTTACTCTAGCCCTCGAGACCTGGAGAAAGCTTTTATTCTTTTTTTTTATTCTTATTTTATAAATTGTTTTCAAATATATAAAACAATTCTAGGAAAAAATGTCTTTATTTCCAGCTCTTAGTTGCCCTCTGAGGAAGCAGTTGGTGTTATCTTTCTCCTTTGTAAAATCGCCCAGGGATTATCCACGTATTCTTTCACCCGTTTTTGTTCAAATAATAGCATATTCAATATGCTTCTGTGCCTTGCTTTTCTTTTACCTAATATTTCCCTCTGGAGCTCACTGGGACCTTGCTGGTCCCTCCGTGCCGCTGTGAGATGCGAGTCCCGTTTTTGTGACTTGCTCAGCAGTCCAGCGCGGGGTCTGCATCCCTGTCCGTGGGCAGGAGGGCGCCGCCCGGCTCTCTGTGGGAGGGTTCTCAGTGAGGCCCTTTGGCCCCTCCTCAGCTCCCATGTCCTCCCCTTGGGCCCCAGACACCACGTAAACACGCGTCTGCCAACTCCCCCGCAGCCCCCGGGGAAGAGCGCGAGTTTCCCTCTGAGGAGTAAGCGAAGAGGCGCCCAGCACGGCGAGAGGCCTGCGGCCCCATGAGTAGGTGGAGTTTCAAGTCCAGCCGTCCGTCACCGTCCCGCTCTGTCTGTTCCCTAAGCTTTCTGCCTCTTAGCAAAGACAGAGCAGTCTGGAAAACAAAATAGCTCCATAGCCCGTGTATTCCAACCTTGCAAAAATCTTAGAATTGTAGGGATTAAGAGAGCTTGTAATGTTTCCAAAGGAACACAGTCTTCCAGAACCCTGAAACATTTTAATGGGAAGCAATACTACCCATCCCCTGCCCTACCTACCCCTGGCCCACTGTTAGAGCAAGAAATTAACTATCCCCTCAGCAAGCGATGTGTGCAGCCAGAGTTCTCACCTGGGGTGGTTTGGCCCCCCGGGCACATCTGGCAGTGTCTGGAGACATTTTCATCATCACAGCTCCAGGTGGGTGGGACGGACAGAGAGCCCACAGTGTGCAGCAGGCCTGCGACCAGAGTCTCCCAGCCCTGGTGGCAGTAGCACCGAGGTGGAGAAGTGCACTTGTAGGAAGGGGCTGTTTCTGTTGAAACCGTGTGTGTGTCTCCAGGCTGGAGCCCCGCGCTGTCCGTCGTGGGTGTCTTGTGTAGGAGGAGCTGGTGGGAGCAGGCAGCAGTTACAGAAGCACAGCAAACAAAAGGATTCATTTCTACAATGTGCCTGATTTTTATAAGCTTTTATTTCTTTTGTAAGAAGGTTGTACTTAAAAAATAAAAGCCTCTACAGAGTAAATGATAGCAACTCAGGCGCGGCTGTGTCCTCCAGCAGCGCCCACGGGCCTAGGGTTGCAGGGCCCCTCTGCCCCGGCCAGGCCCTTCTCCTTGGGAATCACATGAAGGCCATTGAGACAGTCCTCATGTGACGATGTTGGGGGCTGGTCCTTTCTAGTCGAGAGATGGCAAAACCAAGCAGATGCACGGCTTCGTGTTTCCCTTTTCACGGGGGAGCAGCTTCCGTTTCTCACGTAGCGGCAAGCAGTGGCGTGCCAAGTGGACACAGCTGTGGGTTTAGTGTAGCTGGCCTCATGGGCCACTGGATGAAAATAAGGGAGAGCATTTTCTAGAACAGAATGCCTTCCTGTAGCATTGCAAGGTGCTCCTGTTCTCCAGGCTACTCAAGGTTAAGTGGAGATCGAGCCTCCCTGCCTTGCTGGCCTGGCCCCTAGGCAGTCGCCTTTACCCACTTGGCCAGCCTCTGTGCAGCTCTCTGTCTCTCCTCTGCCCGCCCCCCGCCCCCCTGCCTGTCCTGCAAACGTGTGCAGGGCAGGTCGAGACGGGAGACAACGTGAAGGTGCAGTTCTTGCTGTTAAGAAGGAGCCATTGTTGGTCGAGGACCAACAAAGAGAGGGACCAAGTCCAAGGTTAGAGAAATACATTTCCCATTTTTTCTTACTCTGAACTTTTTACCATTTGCAGAATAAAGCCATTGCCACTCCTGTCCAGGGCGTCTGGGACATGAGGAACAAGCAGTTCCACACAGGCATTGAGATCAAGGTGTGGGCCATCGCGTGCTTCGCCCCCCAGCGCCAGTGCACAGAAGTCCATCTGAAGTAAGCCCGCCGTGTGGCCTGTGCGGGGGGCGGGGGCACAGGGACTGGCCACGTGGAAGGCTGTCCCTTGGGGTGGTTGGGTTTCTGATGTCAGGTCCCTCAGCCTTTCCCTGTCAAAGATCAGGTCGGGCCGGCAGGGCACGTAGACACCTTTGCCCCTCACCCCGGCCCCTGCGGGCAGGAGCAACGAGGAGCCGCGTGGACCACGCGCAAAGCAAACCAGGGTCTGAGGGAGGAGTTGAAACGTGCAGGCAAAAGAGAAAATCAGGTTCAGTGAAGTTCATTATTCTAAAAAGCACTTTAGCTTTCTATTTGTGTGAGTTAAGTGAGAAGGAGAAATTAAAGACAAGGTGGGGAAGAGATGGTCAGACAGAGGGTTGGGGGATCTGGGAGTATTTTCTTCCCTCCCCAGGCGAGGGGAGTAGTTACAATAAGAGGAGAGACAGAGCTTTGGTGCATGCCCCTGCCACCTGCCCAGGTAGCCCAGGTTGGGGGTCAGCCCCCCAGGAACCCCAAGTGCCATGGAGGGGGCCGTCCTCACCCAGACACTTGCATGGCTCCCTCGGCAGGGTCAGGGGTGTAGGACTGGCCGGGCCTGCCCCAGGGCAGGAATCACATAGCGGTGTGGCTTGTGATTTTGTGCCAAACAAACTTCTAAGGGAACATAAAGCTTTTGCTTCCCACTTTGTGGGGGCAGCAGAGAGGATCCCAGGGCCTGTGAGGTGGAGCTGGTACTTGGGCATTCCAGCAAGGGCTGGTTTTGAAGGCTACGGCTCTTCCAGCTGACGTGCGGGGCTGCCCTGCCCATGCTGCTGGCAGAGGAGCTGGAAGCGAGGAGAGGGTTTGGGAAACAAAGCTGAAGTAGGTGAACACTGGGTCTCTCCCACCCTATCTTCTGTGCCTGGGCGTTTCCTTCTGCTTTTAGCTAGAACTAAAAGTGCGGACGCGCACACACGTATTTCTTTAACTGCTCCAATGTATGGGAAATTGAACACTAACTGGCTAGGATGGGTCACAGTGGCCTCACCCTTATTGTAGAAAGTGACATGATTTTTAATTTTTGCCTAAAATAGAAGCCGTTGATCTGTCTCTGTGCCCCACCCCAAGCTTCACAAGGCCAGCCGATGCTAGCTGCTGGTGTTACTCTAGCTGTGGGCTGTTTTGTTTTTGCTCACGATTATGTCATCCAAGTCCAAGCTGTGCCCAGTGGAACAACTGGGGAAAATTCCAGAGGGACAGCTAGCTAGAACTTCCCTCCCTCCCTGACGAGGGCTGGCCTTGTTCTGCGCCAGAGCTCGAGCGGGGGGCAGCTCAGGCTGCCGGGCAGGTGGCAGCTGCTCTGTGCCTTGGTTTGCAAGTACAGGATCTTGTCACTGTGTGCGGGGACTGTCACAGCTGATGAGGCAACAAGAACCTAATTTGAAGTCTGCTGTTTTGTCGTGGCGGAGTAGCCACAGGTGACCTTCAGTAAACGTACGTGTGTACCTTGAGCATGTTGAACCTTTCTCATGAGATAGTGTGATTTAGGAGATGCAGCTTTGATTTCTGGCTTTATGTGGGACTTAAGAACAACTTTGATACTGACCTCAATAAAAGTGCTTTTAGCTTTATAAAAATCGTGCCTTTTATTTAGGGCCTCAGGTTGGCCTGAATTCTCCGCTGTTCACCGTGGGTTTTAGTAACCCGAACCTCGTCCTGCAGGTCCTTCACTGAGCAGCTCCGGAAGATCTCGAGGGACGCCGGCATGCCCATCCAGGGCCAGCCATGCTTCTGCAAGTACGCCCAGGGCGCGGACAGCGTGGAGCCCATGTTCCGTCACCTGAAGAACACATACGCAGGCCTGCAGCTGGTGGTGGTCATCCTGCCTGGCAAGACCCCCGTGTACGGTAGGCATCACAGCCCTGTGGTGGGAGCTGTCGCGTCTCCATGGGTACCCGTTGCACCCCGAGGCCCTTTGTGTTTCTGCTGCACTGAGGAGATGCTTGTTTTGGATGCATTCGTGAGCCTGGGAAAGAAGAGGTCGTGTCTGGCCACTGCCAAGCCTGTGTTCAGGGCCTCTCTCGTTGTCTGGTCTGGGGCCCTCAGGCACAGAGCCCAGGGTGTGTGTAGGCGTCTTGTCTGCCGCACCACACAGGAGTCACTGGTCCAAGTCTGTTGTACCAAAGGGCAGTGCACATTTGTCTTGCTGAAATGTCCTGTGCCTGCCCCAGAGAGTACAGAGATAAGTCAGACCCAGCCTCTTTGTTCGGGAACCTCCCAGGTTAGGAGGGGGAGATGTGCAGACAGGTGACTCTGACACGGTGAAGTGAAAGCTCTTTGAAGTCTGCTGAGAGCGCGGGAAGAACCCAGAGGAGCTGGTAGAGGGGATTTGAAGCTGGAACCTGTGGTGTTGGGGGCCGTGGGGCAGAGGGAAGCATCTAGGACATGGTGGTGTCGCCCATGTGATCTCCTGTCTAACCAGTGATGGATTACGGCCACGTAGAGGCCACACTTCTCCCCTCCAAATTCAACATCCATAAAAAGAAAGCAAGAGAAAACCATTGGCTTCTGCATCCTGTTAGTGTTATGCTAGGAGTCACTGTTTCCACAGGGCTGCCCAGTGAGCAGTTGATCAGTTGCTTCACGAAAGACTCCAGGAATAGAGGGGGTGGCACTCACAGCTCTTTGATGTAGGGTTTGCATTTGCCGAGGATTTTGAGGATGCCAGTGTTTTTATTTTTAACTACTGGAGCATTTGCTTGTAGCCATGGGCTCTGAGATAGGAGGTGTCGTTGCTGCTCAGGAACGCAGAGTCCTCTGCTCTGGCAGGGCTGTGCCCATGCCTGCTGGGGCCCTGGTTATGTCACTTAAATGGTCTCGTTCATAAACCACAGGGGTGAGATCCATTTACCCAGTGTCCCCTCCTGAGTGAGGCATGGCAGTGCAGAGGCAGGACTCCAGGCAGCTTGGCCAGGGATGCCCCCTCTGGGGCCGATCAAGGCTAGATGGGGGCAGAAGAAGCCCAAGGTGGCGTCTATGGTTGCACGTCAGCGTGCATTTGAGGTGGGCAGCAGGGGCCGGGTGACAGCTGCCACTCGGGGTCAGCCAAGGGTAGGGTGCTAACAAAAGCTGTTACATGTGCACCTGTCCTATCCCGCAGCCGAGGTCAAGCGTGTGGGAGACACAGTGCTGGGGATGGCCACGCAGTGTGTGCAGATGAAGAATGTGCAGAGGACCACGCCGCAGACCCTGTCCAACCTCTGCTTGAAGATCAACGTCAAGCTAGGAGGTGTCAACAACATCCTGCTGCCCCAGGGCAGGTAAGGCCAGCCCTTCCACTGCGACTCCAGGTGGGGCACGGCACACAGGCAGCAGGGCCCCTTCACCTGGACCAAGCACTGTCCTGGGCGCATCAGGGCAGGGAAGTCAGGTGCAGCCTGCCTGCCCACGGGGACCAGGGCATCTGCTCGTGGTTGAGTCCATGGCCAGGTGTCCAGACAGGGATGAGGCCCACGACGGGGTGAGGAGAAGAGACTCCTCCCCTATGCCAGGGCCAGTGGTCCCAGAACAGGAGTGAGCAAGGGGCCCATCCAGCTGGCCCTGTCTCACCTCCTAGACCCTTGGAGCAGCAGCTGCTGCATAGACCAGGGCATCCCCTACGCGTGGCGCACAAGACTGGTCGGCGATGCTGCTTTGTGCTGGGACTTCGCATTTTGGACTGAAAAGCTCTTCGTAGGAGCATGCTGCTGGCAGGTCCCAGATCAGAGCAGGAAGGGTGACGGACAGAGCGCCTCAGAGGGCTGAGGCCTGCGGGGGTGATGGAGCTGCACCTTCTTCAGGCATCCCTGGGGGCTGGTGTGCGGCCCCCCCTTGTTTAAGGGCAGGGTCAAGGCTAGCTTTTGCCCCTCCTTCATGACCTCCACCCTCTGATGCAGGCAAACACAGAGGTCTCTAGAGTGACAGACATTTTCAAAGATGCCAGCAACTGGCATGGATGACAGTGGTGAAAACAAAGGCTCCCGGGACTCGGCAGAGAGTCAGACGTGGGTGTGGGAGGGGCAGTGCAGTGGCAGCCAGTGCTTCGCTTATCTAAGGAGCTCCTCGAGTGACAATGGAGCTGTATGCTCATAAACCCTGTGTCAGTCAAGGAGCATACCGTACGCTATGGCTCTCATACCATCGTAGCGCTGCAAATCCTAAGTCAAACCGCCATGAGCTGGGTACCGTCTGTGCTGGGGAAATGGCCGTTGGCGAGCAGCACCTGTGTGCAGAGAACTCCAGCCACCCTGGGCTACTTTAGTGTCCTTGTGCCGCACCAGCACCCCGGCCAGGCCTGCCCCACAGTATGTGACTCCCAAGGATTCACACTCCCGACAACCTGCTGCAGGCTGCTGGTGTGGTACCGGGTTACCACACTTTGAGAACCACCAGGTTACACTGTTAATTTAGCATTAACTGAAAAGACTTGAATTTGTGATAACATGGAAAAGAGCCTGGATTTAGAGTCAGACAGGTTTGAACTTGGGTACCGGCTCCGCGATGAGGGATAATTTCACCCATACGATCTCACGAGGATAAATGGGGGTTTACCAGGAGCTGGCTGGGAGCCAGCAGTGCCATTTTGTCAGTCACCAGGCTCTGTGTTTACTGAGTCCCTACTGTGTGCAAGGTCTCGGGCCACAGGCTGCGAGTACAGAGGCCTAAGTCCTCTGGCGGAGGGACCCCAACGAGTTGTTCATAAATGTGATACATGACGCAGAACCTCACGGGTGCACAGCCGCAGTGTGGGGGAGGGGACAGGAGCTCGGCGGGGTGAGGGTCCCCTGAGAAGGTGGTGCGTGTGCACAGTGCAGGCTCCTAGGGAGCAAGCGCGTAGACAGACGCCTATGGGGAGAGACCCCCAGGCAGCAGGCACGGTCGTGCAAGGCCCTGCAGTGGCAGCTGCTGGAGTGCAGGGCAGAAGAAGAAGCCAAGGGGAAGAGGCCAGCAGATGGTCCTGGGCCCTGAGGGAAGCGTGTCCTGTGTCATGAGATGCTGGTAAGCCAGGTGTGGCCAGGTCTGAGGCCCGACTACTGGTCTGGGTGATATGGAAGTCGTCGGTGTCCTTGTTGCGTAGCAGTGCGAAGTCTGACCAGAAGGGGTCTGGGTGCCGGCAGGGGGCAGTAGTGGGTTCTGTTGACGCAGGAGCTTTGCCTTAAGGAAGGCTTGGGGGTGGGGGGAGGCGTAGGCAGGAAGTGAATCACACCTGTGCCTGTGAGTCTAGGATGCTGGTGGGAGGGCAGGGGAGAGCCTCCTGTCTGACTGCTTTTCAAAGGGTGGCTGGTAGGACTGAGATACACGCAGTCGGGGGCTCACCTTCTCGAGGCCGTTGACCTCCACACAATGGCAGTGGTGACAGTGAGGACTCGGGAAGTACCCAGGTGCCTGCAAAGTGCCATGCTAGGGCAGGAAGTAGCAAGCCGCTGCCTGGCGTGTGTGGAGCACCCCCAGTGGGAGCCCCGCAGGTGTGGCTGGAGCCATGCTAGGGATTCTACCTTTTGTGGATTGCACGAATGAAGTGAATACACGCAACCCTCCTCCCCGCCTGCCTCCTCTCTGCGGGGGTGCTCCCGAAAGGAGCGTAGTGGATGGTGCTTGCACTCAGAGCAGGGTAAAGGCATCCCGGGGCTGCTGGCCAGTGGGAATCCCACCCAAGGCACGTCCCAGGACCCCTGCCCGCCTTTCCTGGCAGCCCAGGCGGCTGCAGAGTGATGGCACCTTGAGTGGAGGGACGCAGTGCTCAGCTTTTGTCGTGGTGGCATCTGACTTTGGCCCTTATGTAGAAATACTGTTAGGTGAGTCCTGCTTCCAAAATAGGCACGTTTAACAGTTGATTCCACCTGTGAAGGTGACCAGAAGTAGAGACATCCTTCCTGATCCTGACGCAGTTGGGAAATGGGTGCAGCACCACCTCCTAAAGCTGTGACATGGGTGGTCCCCTTTGGGAGCCTGAGGCATCACTCGTGGCAGCTCCCCTCCCTAGTCCCCTCTAGGTTCTGGCCACAGGCCCTGAGACACCTGTAGGTGCGAGCACCCAACTTCATGGTGCCCCTAAAACTTGCTCTTCTGGCCCACCTGCTGGCATGTCCCTAGCTTTTCAGGGTGCACAGGCTGCCTCGGGAGCAGAAGGTACCATGAAGGAAAGAAGGGCACCTCAAAGGGACACAGCAGGGATCACATGCCCGGACATGGCATCCCATTGCCACTCCCGGGCTGAGCAGGGACACCGAGGGGTGAGGGAAGGTGCGGCCCTGCAGCCAGGGCCCCGGGCAGGGGTCAGAGTACACCTGGAGCAGCATCTGGAAGGCTGGGAGAGGCTCTCAAGTCCCTGTGTGCTGGGGTCCTGAGCCAGCCCTGGAATGCGATTGTCTCGTCAGCTGGTCTTGGTGTTCAGAGGAACCAAACCCTCGACCCGTTCAATTGCAGAGAATCCTCTTCCTGACTGTCTTTGTCTCTTTCTGGGAGTGGCGGCATCTCCCAGATCCTGGCAATAACCCTAGTCCTTCATGCAGAAGACCCAAATTTCTTTAGGCACCAAGGGGTAGAAGTGGGACTGGCCAGTTGGTAAAAATTACAGGAAGGTGGCAGGTGTTAACCCCATCAGACACCCTGCCCGTAACCACACTGCCTAGCCCAGGGCAGGGAGGACTCGGGCCCGTGAGGGGCAGGGGCTGGGCGGCAGGAAGAGCAAGCGTGGTAACCACAGTTGCAGTGGCGGGTGCCTGCGCGTGCGTGCGTGCGTGCGTGCGTGCGTGTGTGTGTGTGTGTGTGGCCAGGCCCTGGGGCAGTGCTTGACGCACATTCGCCCTCACAAGCATGCCCAGAGGGAGGTGCTGTCTTCATCTCCATTTCTTAGAAGAGAGAGTGAGTTGCAGGGAGAGCCGTGGAACATGGGGTGCGGGTGCCCCCAACTGGGAGTGCTGCCATCTCGGGAAGTGGCACTAGGACACTCAGCAGGGGAAGGCTCTCAACGGGTGGTTTTGTCCCCAGGGAATCTGCAGCAATGTCTAGAGATGTTTCGGGGTATCAGGACTTAGAGGGGTGCTACAGGCACTATGGGTAGAGGCCAAAGGCACCATTAAAGATTCCCCCCAACAAAGAATGACCCAGCGCCACCCGAGTGCCAAGGCTGAGAAGCCAGGAGCACCCTCGGTGTAGCTGCCACCCGGAGGCCGAGTCACAGACCATGGGCTTTGGGGCTGATTTTTTTACTTTGAAATAGTCAAATGTTTACAAAGATAGACCATCTGGAACAGTGAACCCTCATGGGCCTGAACCCCAGCCTTGGCAGCCATTAGCCGTGGCTGTCTGGTCTGGGGTATACTCCACCCAGGCCCCCCAAACCTGCGACATTCTGAAGCAGATTTTAGACCTTGTATCGTTTAGTCTGAGGCTTTCTATATTGCTGTGAAAAGGTAAGGATTCTTTTCTCTTTCTTTTTATCTTTCTTCTTGAGACAGGGTCTTGCACTGTCACCAGGCTGGAGTGCAGTGGCTCACTGCAGCCTCAAACTCATGGCCACAAGCTATCACCCCACCTCAACCTCCCAAAGTTCTAGGCTCTCGGGCATGAGCATCATGCCCAGCATAGGATTCTTTTTTTTGTTTTGTTTTTCCTGAGACAGAGTCTTGCTTTGTTGCCCAGGCTAAAGTGAATGCCGTGGCATCAGCCCAGCTCACAGCAACCTCAATCTACTGGGCTCAAGCAATCCTTCTGCCTCAGCCTCCTGAGTAGCTGGGACTACAGGCATGCGCCACCATGCCCGGCTTATTTTTTCTATATATATTAGTCAGCCAATTAATTTCTTTCTATTTATAGTAGAGATGGGGTCAGACACTCTTGCTCAGGCTGGTTTCGAACTCCTGACCTCGAGCAATCCATCTGCCTCGGCCTCCCAGAGTGCTAGGATTACAGGCGTGAGCCACTGCGCCCAGTCCCAGCAGAGGATTCTTTTCAAAAATATACCCACGATGCACTTACCACCCCAAAAGGTGGTGATGGCACCTACTGTCCTCAGAGGCCCAGGCTATGGCCCTTCCTGGCCTCTGACAGCGCTTCTCCCTGCAGGCCTCCAGTGTTCCAGCAGCCCGTCATCTTCCTGGGAGCAGACGTCACTCACCCACCCGCTGGGGACGGGAAGAAGCCTTCTATCGCTGCCGTGAGTGCCCGCACTTTCCCCTGGGTCCTCTGTGGGTGACATGCCACTCTGTGCTGGACCCACAGCCCTCCCGAGGCCCCGCTGCAGCCTTGGGGCTAAGGGTTCCTTCCCAAAAGGCATGAAGCTTGCTCCAGTGCAGCAGGGGAAGTCAGGGTCTCCTGTAGGACACTAGACGTGGCATAAAACAAGTCCCAGGAAACAGTGAGAGTTGGTACGTGAGCACTATCCCAAAGCATGGCAGCAGACCCCACGGAATCTGCCGGCATGGACAGCCTGCTGGGAGGGGCTTGTCTCACCTGCCTGCAGGTGACACCTGATGGCTTCTGGGCCTGCAGGAGCAGATTCTAGGCCTCATTCTAATATTTTGTTTTTTGTTACAATATATTAAATATAACATACACAGTGAAGTTAAAAGTCCACCCTTCTTTCTCTACCCTGTTTCCAGTCTCCTAAAGGCAACTGTTGTTATTAACCATCTTTTTTATTTTTTTGAAACAAGGTCTTGCTCTGTCACACAGTCTGGAGTGCAATAGTGTGATCATAGCTCACAGCAGCCTCTAACTCCTGGGCTCAAGTGATCCTACCACATTACCCTTCTGAGTAGTTGGAACTACAGGCATTCGCCACCATTCCTGGCTAATTGTTTTTTATATGTAAATTTTTTGATGAGGTTTTGCTGTGTTGCCCAGGCTGGTCCTGCACTCCTGGCCTCAAGGGATCCTCCCTGCTCGGCCTTACAAAGGGCTGGCACAACAGGCGTGAGCCACCACACCCAACCAAACCACCTTTTTTTTTCCCAGAGTATTTCAGAAGAACAGATGTTTTTGGTTACACGGACCACTTTTGTAATGCTTGAGTTAGAAGTGTGCCCATCACCCAGATAGTGTTCATTGTACCTGTTGGGTATTAGATAGGTTTTCACCTATCCCCTCCTCCCAGCTCCCCAGGCCATCTGCTTAAAAGTGTGTGAGCTGGCTTCAAGTGTAGTGCTGTTCCCGGTTTTACTTTTGTGGGCGTCCTCAGGTGTGACTGTGGCCACCGCCGGGACTCAGGGTGGTCGTGGCGATGCACGTGGCACTTTGCACCCAGCCCTCTGTTCACTTACCAGAAAGGTGCAGAGCGATTGTTCTCTAGAGGGGCAGTATAATTGTCACCGTGGCCTTTGGTTTAAAAGGATAGAACCAAACCATGCATGCTTAATAGTCTGGTTTGGTTTTTAAACTTTGGAATGCAGAGAGCACAGGATGTTAACTCAAAGTTGTCTCCGCCTGGAGACCTTGGTGTTGTGTGGTGGCAGAGCCACGTGGTGGGAAGGAAGCACTGGGCTTTCATTCCAGTGATCTGTCTGAACCACGCAGGACCTGCCCCCACGAGTGCCCCCCGGGATGCCCCGGCCTCCCTGGCAGAAATGCCTCAGAGAGAAGCCTGGGCAGAAACTGGAACCCGAAGCCCCTGCTCATGGGGCCTGTCGGGCTCGTGACACCCTTGGGTGTGGGGTCCCCCAGCTCCCTACACTAAGCGTGAAGACACTGGCTGTGGGCCCAGCCCTGAACCTCAGACAGGCTTGAGCCGTGTTTTCTGCCGTCTCACTTGGGCAATTGAGCTTAACGTTTCTGAACTTTCTTTTGTGTAAAATGAGGAAGTGAATATTGACCTCTTATCATGAAGTGCTGTAGTTAGGCCCCTGGCGTTGTGCCTGGCACATGGTAGATGCTCATAAACTGTTAACGTTCTTCTTTGATTAGTCCGGAGGGAATGTGGGGCCAGATAATCTATCTGGGGCATGTGGGAGCCAGATCAGCCGCCCTGGGCGGAGGAAAACCGACACATGGCAGGTGCTTTGGTGTATTCAGAGGCCACACTTCCTCCAGTAAATTAGTGTCACATAAAGTAATTCCTGCCTGTTGGCCCAACAGTCGTGGCCCCACCACTTCCTGTGCATACCACGTCTCTCATTTCACTGAATGTCTTCCGGGCCTTTCCTCATTTGCTCAGCGAAGGCCAGCACGTGGGGCTCCCAGGCGGAGCCGCGTGCTGGGGTGCACGTGAGGGCACAAGGTCCCAGCAGCCTGCCAGCTCCTCCAGTGGGGTGGCCGGCCGCTCACAGGGCTGGTGCCCTTGTCCTGCTCCCGCCTCACTTCACCAGGTCCCTGGTGGCTTTTGTTTTTCTGCATAAACATTGTGTAGCATCGAACCACGTCTCTGGTTTTTAAAGGCTTAGCCTGGTTTATTCGAGTTTTCAGGAACAGAGATATTTGTGTGTGTTTTCCCCATCCCATTTCTCGATCACTAGGAGCAGATTTCTATTTATGTTAATGTTTTTCTGTTTATCCCAACTCGAAACATTTCAGAGTCTATTTTTCCCTTGGTTCGAGAGAAAAATTTTATAGCTAAAGGCAGAACCAGGGACACAGAACATGTGGGAGAACTGAGTTGGGGGAAAGGTGTTCTATAAGGATTTCCAAAGAAGGCAGATTGGCAAGAAATAGTTGCTATTTTTCAGTGACACAAAAGGAAGTTTTTCCCCTCAGCGTTTTTCAGAATTTGGGGAATTCACCTTCCCCAGCCGGGAGGTGGAGAGGCACAGGCAGGGTCAGGCCAGGCCTCAAGGCCCAGTCCCCTGGCAGAAGGGCTGCAGTCCACTCTTTATTCTCCCTAGCTGGCACCTTCAGGCAACTATATGCAAGGCCAGCTTGCCTCTAGGCTGCTCTGCCCTTGCTGGGGACCAGGATTCTGGGGCACTGTGTGTGGATGGGCAAATGGCTTCTTTGGAAGAGGAATGTGCCTTGAAAACACTAGGGGCACCGTCACTAGTTGCTTTCTTTGGACTGATTAATTCAACCACATCTGATCACAAACAGAGTAAGGTTCTGAATAATCTTCTATTTTTTATTACACACCTTGGGGCAGACTTATATGCCTTAAAGCATATTTATAAACACTCCTGCCAGACGCTCACAGAGAGCAGAAAGGCGAGCACACAGCGGCTGTGCCAGCTGTGCCGTGAGTCCAGGGTGGAGGTGCTCGTGCCGGCCCTGGGCCCTGTTGCAGCGCACGCCCGGAAGGGGGGGATTTCGGGAGCTTGTGACCACGCTCTTCTCCCGTCCCACAGGTGGTGGGCAGCATGGACGCCCACCCCAACCGCTATTGCGCCACCGTGCGTGTGCAGCAGCACCGGCAGGAGATCATCCAGGACCTGGCGGCCATGGTCCGCGAGCTCCTCATCCAGTTCTACAAGTCCACGCGCTTCAAGCCCACCCGCATCATCTTCTACCGCGACGGAGTCTCCGAGGGCCAGTTCCAGCAGGTTGGCACCTCTTTGAGCCCCCCTCCCCGCCTCCCCGGCCTCTCGAGGGTCTTTAATTCCCACCGTGCTCAGATCCGCTTCCCCGGCTGACCAGTGAAACAAATGACGCAATTTACTTTCTGCCCCGCAGTTGATCTGGTCACGGTGAGGAAGGCGGGTCTGGAGGAGACGGGGATGGGTTGTCTGGACACTGGCACGCGCCGGGCCCACCATGCTGAGGCAGCACAGAGGAAGAGGTGGAGAGATGGGCGTGTGCTTGGGGACCAAGAGGCGAGGGAGAGGGCTCTGCGTCTGGCCGATGGCCCACGTGCAGCAGCTGTCCGGGTGCTCTCCAAGACTCCGGGCTTTGCCTTGCAGGCGGTTGAAAGCTGAACAGGGAGAGCATCCTGGACGGATAGGCCCCCATCATGTCTGGGGACACCTGTCTGCAGTGTGAGGTGCCGGCTGGAGGGTGCGTGCAGGGCAGCAGGACGAGGGTTGTTGCGTGGGGCCACTGCTGGATGTGGAGAGAGTGGCAGGCCACACATGTTTGGGAGGTCGGGGAAGTCATCACAGATATGGAGCAAGTGAGGGGAGAGGGGATTTCTTCGTTGCCTTTGGTTGAAAGCACCTGTACCACCTCTAGGTCACGGTGACCTGTCATAAATCCATCCTGGCCTGGAACTTGGGCCATTGGTGCCCAGGATGCCCTCCCCAGCGGCCAGGGCTGTCTGCTCCTCTGCCTTGCTCCGCTTCCCCCCCAGGTCCCCCCCCCTCCCCCCGAGGGGTTAGCAAGGAGGGTAGAAGTAAGCCACAGGCCATACCTGGCGGGGGTGTAGCCCAGGTGTTTGAGAACCGGCCTGCCCTGACCACCAGGCTGGATCGCCCATGCCGGGGCACATGCACGTCGGCCTTCCTGGGCCAGGGAGTAGCAGCTCCTCAGGCCCAAGGTCTCCTGGAAGAACAGAACGGTGCTCCCTGAGCGCTGGCGTTTCCTAGCCAGCCTGTGTTTCTGGACAGCCGCTGTGCTGCACCTTCTCGGTCCCGCTTCCCGGCTGCCTCTTCACAGAACCTTCTGGGCTCCTTCCAGTGGGAAATGCTCTCCCTCCTCTGAGCTCCCAGCCCTCTCACCCTGCACCACAGGCCTCCACGTAAGAGGGAGGTTCCTCCTTTCTCTGTTCTCACCACCTGTGAACAGACACACTCAGCAATCAAACTGGAATCACCACAACTGGGTTTTCTGAACCCAGAACCCAAGACATTATTTTCAAGACATTGTAACCCGGCATTTAATTAGGCCCATTGCTAACATAAAACATAATCCGCAAACATGTTCTTTCTCCCCTCCTTTCCCTTAGGTCCTCCACCACGAGTTACTGGCCATCCGCGAGGCCTGCATCAAGCTAGAGAAGGACTACCAGCCAGGGATCACGTTCATCGTGGTGCAGAAGAGGCACCACACTCGGCTCTTCTGTACCGACAAGAACGAGCGGGTAAGTTTCCCATGACGCATGCACGGTGCACGTTCCTGCTGGACACGGTTGTCTCAGAGTGCAGGGGCCCCTCTCCCCTCGGCCCTGCACCCTGAGCCACACTCTGGAGCCTGCTGGCTACTCGGTGTCATGTCCCAGGTTCTTGGGAGACTCTGTCCTCCAAGATGCTTCATGGGGACCCAGCCTTAGGCACCAGAGATAGCTCTCCTTGGTTTGGTGAGAATTCTTAATTGGTAAGTCCTGTAGGTCTGGGACAGGTCCAGTTGAGATGTAATTTATCTAATACATTACCCAAAGAGGCAGCTCTGAAAAAGAACAGGTTAGAAAGCATGGTAGGGGACTATGCAGTCCTAAAGATGGGCAGAATTCAGTGAGCGGGGACCCCAGGGGCTCAGCCTGGCTGTCGAGAAGTGGGTGCTGGGAGCTTGTTCAGCAAAGTGGAGAGGAGGCAAGAGGTGGCAGGTTCCCCTCACAGGTGCTCTGGGAGGAGCAGGAGATGGGAAGGGGCAAGGTTTGTAGACAGGACAGCTGAGAGTTCTCCACAGCAGAAGAAAGACAGGAGTCCTCGGATTAAAAGTGTCTCCCATGTTCCTGATAGGATAATTAAAAATAAATCCACCCCTCCATACACTGTCCTAAGCTGCACAACATCAAGGTAGTCACCTGAGAACAGAGACCCTGCCCAGAAAGAAGAGACCTTACATTCACGACCAGCAGCCCCAGAACTGGACACGGAAGGGCCAGAAGTCACCCGGGTTGGTGTGCACTCAGCACCGAGGGAGAGTGACCCAGAGCGCGGGGAGAGCAGCCTGTGTGAGTGGAAGGCAAGCAGAGGGCAAGTGTTGTCCTGAGAAAGGGGCATACTTTGTCACTATAAAAGGAGCAATTCACCAAGAAGATTCAGCACCTAGGAACTTGCATGTACCTAACACCATGACCTGAAGTTATGTAGAGAGAGAAAAATAAAGCAAAAACTAACAGAATTTTAAGGAGAAATTCACAAACCCACCATCAAAAAGGGATATTTCAACATATCTCTGTCAGAAACAGAAACAGGCAAACACGAGTAAAAACTGAAATGAACAAGTGAAATGAACAAGCCAGATCTTAGAAAGAATCCTGCCTACAAGCTGGGTGCAGTGGCTTTCTCCTGTAGTCTCAGCTACTCAGAGGCTAAAAAGGAAGAATAGCTTGAGGCCAGGAGCTCAAGACCAGCCTGAGCAACATAGCAACAGCCTGTCTCTAAAAAAAAATTTTTTTAAGTTAGCCAGGTATGCCTGTAGTCCCAGCTACTTGGGAGGCTGAGGCAGGAGGATTGTTGGAGCTGAGGAATTAGAGGTTGCAGTGAGCTGTGATGCTGTGATTGTGCCACTGCACTGCAGCCCGGATGACAGAGCAAGACCCTGTCTCTTCAGAAAAAGATCAGGCTCAGGCTCAGGTGCGTTCAAGATTCAGCTTCACCCATAATCCACTGCGATGGCCAAGGAAGGCCGTGCTGCTGAGGGTGTAATGGGTTTCAGCACCTCTTGGCAAGAAGTGCTAAAGGCTGCCCTCATCACAGTGGCCTTGCACATGGAATTTGTGAAGCTGCTAATGCCTTGGACGCATGCCAAGCTCAACCTTGTGCACATCTGACTGTGATGAGCATGTGTGTGTCACATCAGTGGCGGCCCTTTGCGGTGAACACCAAATCAATCTAATTAAGGCTGATGACAACCAGAGACCAGGGGAAGTGGGTTAGTCCTGTGTAAAACTGACAGAGAGAAAAACCTATAGAGTAGTTGGTTGCAGCTGTGTAGTAATTAAGGACTGGCAAAAATTCTCAGGCCAAGGATGTTATTGAAGAGTACTTCAAATGCAAGAAATGAACAGGTAAAACTTTAGCTCACGTTTAAAACAACAACAAAAAAGAATGCTGCCTACAGACAGCTGAGCTCACATGGAAGGATTCAAACAGTTGGCCTCTTAGCAGGAAAAAGGAAGTCAGAGATTTTCAGACTTCAGTCTTTTATAAACCATATTTTTTGATCATTATGCAATTAAATTTTAAATCAGCAGTAAAAACAAGGGTTTTTACTGCAAGTGAAATTTGCAGTCCACTTCTAAGTAGCTCATGCATCAAACATGTAACAAAAATAGAAACTGCAAAGTTCTCAAAACTGAACAAAAGCAAGAAGACATCATATCAACTTCATGCAGTGCAGTTAAAAACAGTGCTGTAAAACAAAAACGAGAAGGCCAGGCGCAGTGGCTCATGCCTGTAATCCTAGCACTCTGGGAGGCCGAGGCGGGTGGATTGCTCGAGGTCAGGAGTTCGAAACCAGCCTGAGCAAGAGCGAGACCCTATCTCTACTATAAATAGAAAGAAATTAATTGGCCAACTAATATATATAGAAAAAATTAGCCGGGCATGGTAGCGCATGCCTGTAGTCCTAGCTACTGGGGAGGCTGAGGCAGTAGGATTGCTTGAGCCCAGGAGTGTGAGGTTGCTGTGAGCTAGGCTGACGCCATGGCACTCACTCTAGCCTGGGCAACAAAGCGAGACTCTGTCTCAAAAAAAACAAAAAACGAGAACGATAAAATAAACCTAAGTAAAGATCCCAGGAGGGTGGAAAGAAGAGCCCCCAGGCCCTGGGAGCTTGGGCAGGAGGCAAGAGGGCTCTAAAGTCAGGGATGCCTGGTAACACCATACCCCACATCCGTATCCAGGATGGAAAATACTCTCCAGGAACAGAGAATGAAGCAATAGAGCAGATTAACAAATTCAAAACCTACTTTGAAAATACATCGACCTAGCAACCTGTGTTGTGGTTAGGGCTACGGGGTCTGGAGCCAGACTCCTGGGGTCTAAACCCAGTCCCTAAATGTTCTGGCACTTGACCTTGAGCTGCCCCTGAGCCTGGTGCTGCCTCTTGTACCACCTGCAGAAGGTTATTGGGAGGATTATCCACTTGAGCACATGCACAGCACTTAACCCAGTCCTTGTCACAGAGTAAATGCATTATTATGAAGAAAACACTCATATGCTGTCAAGGGGAATGCGGACTGATGACCGACTTGGAATGCAGTTTGGCGGTTCTAGGAATCTGTCCTAGAGACACTAGTGCGCCTGTGTTCAAGGAGATGTGTGTATGAGAACATGTATGGGTTGGATGCGGTGGCTTCTATCTATAATCCCAGCAACTCAGGAGGCTGAATCAGGAGGATCACAGCTTCAAGAGTTTGCAACCAGCCTGTGCAACATATTGAGACCCTGTCTCAAAAAATAAATAAATAAAATTTTAAATTTTAAATAAATTAAATAAACAAAATGAAAATCATCTAGCTGTCCAGATAGGAGAAAAGCTTGTGACATATTCATATATTAGCATTCTGTACAGCAATGAAAATTAATAAACTATGTATCAAATGGATACATCTCAAAATTAAGCAAAAAAGCAGTAGCAGAATATATAAATGTGATACATGTATACAGTTTTAAAATCTACAAAGCGATAAAATACAGTGCTAATGGATACTTGACTGTAAGTGTGTGTAGAAAGAACAAAGTCTACATCTGCACTTGCACCAGGGAAGAGGAGAGGAGGGAGGGCAGGATCTAGAAGAGAGACAAAGGGAACCACTATTTTCAAATATTTTATTACTTTAAAAGATCCGAAGGCTTAAAAAGAAAGGTTGACAAGAAGTAAAATAATAAACCTAAAGCTACAAAGGCGTGGGGGGGTACACTGGAGAGTCTTTTTTTAATGAATATTTGAAATATTATGCAACTTGAAATCCATCAGGGCTGGCTACCTGGCTGGGGCAGGCGTGTGGGGTGTGGCCACTGTGCTGCTGCTGCGACACGACTGGTCTTTGCTGACTTTCTGATCCAGGCTTGTGAACCAGCAGGTCCCTCGTTTCATCGTTATGTTCATCACCTGCACCCCAGCCTCCTGGACAGTCTCTCGTGAAGCCGCCCTGCTCGGGTGGTGGCCGTGAGCAAAGCCTAGAAGCTCCTGGCAGCCCTCAGAGCGCCCTGGCTCCTGCGCCTTGCGCGCTGCTGTGTCTGTGCTCACGAGGAGGGCCTGCCAGCTGCCCAGCCCCCCGTTTGGCTTTAGATTTGTATGTCAGTCACAGTTTTCATCTCGACCTCAAATAAAATTGCACCCACAGCACTGAAGAACCCTTGGGTAAAGGGCTTGGGTAAAGGGCTTAATTCCCGCGCCTGTGTGAGATGTGAAAGGGAACCCAGCCCAAATGGACGGTTAACTAATTTAACTTGGGTGGTTAACATGTGCTATATTTTATTTTAACACTATACAACTGAGCATGTGTATTAGGCAATTTGAAAGTTTCAAAACATGGTAGGCCCTGGCCACGCCGGCGGGTGGCTGCAGCTTGCTGGCTTGCTCTGCCTTGCTGGTCCCTGGCTGTGTCTAACAAGATACCTTTGTCGCCAAAGGTCGGGAAAAGCGGAAACATTCCAGCGGGCACGACTGTGGACACGAAAATCACCCACCCGACTGAGTTTGACTTCTACCTGTGCAGCCACGCAGGCATCCAGGTAAGCACAGAGGGTCCCCTTGGGGTAGAGTCCCGTGTGCGGTACTGTCCACACACTCAGCTTGGCCGTCCCGTGGGGCGCGTGTGAGCAGCACAGAAAGGGCTCCGGTGAGGGGAGACAGGAGGTTAAGCGGGGAACTGGCAAGACTCGGGCTGTGTCAGGCGCTGGGAAGGAAGGAGCCCCAGGTGCTGGGGTGCAGGGTCCGGGTAGTCAGCCTGGGCCTCCCAAGGAGGTCCCACGTAGATGAGATCCTGGCAGAAGTAGCGGTTAAGCGCCAAGGCCAGGGCGCTTTGGGGAGACATGGAGTGTTGTGGCGCTGGAGCTTGGGGCAGGGGCTAGAAGATAAGATCTGAGTGGGAGTGAGACAGCGAGGGCTGCCGTGGGGAGGAGTGGCGGGCGGGGCCCCGGACACTGCTGCAGCGGGGGACACGTGGCCGCGCAGCAACAGTTCACACAACTTGGCGCGGTCAGCCTCTCGCTCCCCTGCTGCAGGGCTGCTGCTGGGCAGGCGTCAGCCAAGCGCTGGGCAGTGGAGAAGGTCATGTGTGCTTGGTTATCGCCTCGGGGCTCTCCTGGGCCCCTCAGTGAGGAGCCACATCTGACTGAGGGCCGTTCCACTGAGCTCGGCCACTGCAGAAAGGCCACGTCCGTCGAAGGAGCTGACGGGCCCCTCCCTGGCTCTCAGAGGGCTGGGTCGTAGGGGCTTTTGGCTTTTTGAAGTATGAGGAAGGACTTAAATATCCCTCCCCTCCAGGATGTGAATCTACAGTTTGAGAATTTGCTGTGAACTTTGTACACACTCTTAATATTCCCTTGGAAACATTTGAAACCCCTCATCGTCCACACGGCCCACAGACAGAGAACGCCCAGGCTGGCATGCTCCGGCCCTGGCTACGTCAGCCCATGACCTGCTTTGTTGCTGCCAAAAGCTGAGAATGATTTTTTGCCCTTTTTTGGGGGGGGAGGTGAGGGTGACAGAGTCTTGCTTTGTCGCCCTGGGGTAGAGCACAGCAGTGTCATCATAACTCATTGCAACCTCCAACTCCTGGGCTCAAGCGATCCTCCTGCCTTGGCCTCCCAGAGTGCTAGGATTACGGGAGTGAGCAACCACGCCCTGCCAATTCTTGCATTTTTGAAGGGTTGTTAAGATATTATGCAACCATGAGCAAGAAGGTTTTTACACCACTTTTTGGTGCACAGTGTCTATCCCAGCATTGCCTTGCTCTGTGAGCACCCTCACAGTGTGTTCCCTCTTGCTCCTGGCATCCCTCCTGGTGAGGGGAGCCCTTGTCCTCCAGGGCCTCTTGGGCTTGTTTTCTGAGCAAACTCTTTGCCTTGAGTTTTCTGCCCAGGAACTTTCCTGATGGGGGTACTTCTCTGGTGAGATGTCAAGCGTGGACCCGGGAGGGCGCTGCTGTCATTGCCCAGGACCACCACCGATTAAATGCCAGGAAGCGGGTGCCAGAGCGTGTGGGCGGTCCATCAGGGGACAAGAACAATCTACCACCCGCTAGTACCCGGGGCCTCGGCACAGGGTTAGACATGAAACAGGCGCAGTACTGGGCTAGACGAGGCGGAAGGAGCTTGACAGCTGGCAGGAAGGGCAGGAGGGAAGGCAGGCAGGTGGGAGTGACGAGGGCTCCACAGGAGAGCTGCCTTCCGCAGCGCGAGCCACCTTGGATGCCTGGTGGAATAACCAGCTCCTGCTGCTGCTGTTTCAGAAGATTTCAAACTACAAACAATAGCGTGCACGTTCAAACATAAAATAGTGCTCATGTTAATATATAGCTTTCATTGGAGGGTTTTCTTCTTGCCATTAATAAAGAAAACATTGTAGAAGACCTAGCATACACAAATACACTGCCCTCAATATAGCCATTTTTAATACTGCTTTATCTCCGTTGTGTTTTGTCAATGTGTAAATAAGTGCATGTACAGTTTATATTTTACCAACATAGGGCCATTTAACATGCATGGTTCTGATGCATTTTTAATAGCATATTCTTCTACAGCATCCTCTTTCAAGATCTCAGGGCAGGTCCAACTCTCTGATCCTCTGATCTGCTTTTAGGGGACAAGCCGGCCTTCGCACTATCACGTCCTTTGGGATGACAATCGTTTCTCTTCCGATGAGCTACAGATTCTAACCTACCAGCTGTGTCACACCTATGTGCGCTGCACGCGCTCTGTGTCCATCCCTGCGCCAGCATACTACGCTCACCTGGTGGCCTTCCGGGCCAGATACCACCTGGTGGATAAGGAGCATGACAGGTGAGCAGCATCCCTGCCTGCCGGGTCATGGCACAGGCACCCCAACAGCTGCTTTTCCAGAAGGGCAGGCAGCCGGGCCACAGGGCCGGAGCCGACCATGACACAGACACCTCTGAATGCCAGCGTCTCTGTGGCCACTTGTTAGCTGTGTGGCCTTCACGCTGCTCTGCCCCTCGCAGACATCCTAACGCAGTTATCGAAGCACTGCCTTATGGTGCGTTAATGGCTACGTGGTCTCATACTCTTCCTGTCTCTGTCTCGTCCCTACAGTGCTGAAGGAAGCCATACCTCCGGGCAGAGTAACGGGCGAGACCACCAGGCACTGGCCAAAGCGGTCCAGGTTCATCAAGACACTCTGCGCACCATGTACTTTGCTTGACATGTTTTAGTGTTTAGCGATTGTGTACCAAGTTGGATTCACATGAGACCAGCTACACTCAGACCAACAGATGGCCAGCCCTTCCGTGACAGCCAGCATCGAACATGAGACGTCATTAACTTTATTAGATTCTCCATTTTCCAGAATGCCTTCCGTCCCAGATTTCAAACTTGGATTTTGAACTGCAGACCTGTATGAGACCCCAATGCCGTAGGAAATATGGTTTGCCAAAATCTATAAGCTGCTTATTAAAATAGAGTCCCGTGTTTCCTAAAAATCTCCTAAAACCAGTCTATGAACTCAGGGCTTTAAAACATTTTTAATTTATTTGGTCATTCAATTTACTTGTTTTTAACACATGATTCTCTATGAAATTGATGGGCTCTAACTAGCTGTGAACGTTCTCTGAGAGTAAAAGCAACATGAAACATGATTATGGTTTTAAAGCCTTGAACATTCTGATGTTGTCACTAAAGCTGATTTCCAGGTGATGCTCGTGTGCTCCTGACATGGCTTACACAAGCTCTTCGGGACTGAGGGCAGTGGCCATGCCGAGGTGTCCACAGGTGTCTTGTTCTGCCACTGCTGGCCTTGCACGTAGCCTGAACTAAGGGGCAGTGGCAGAAAGTAGGCCCCATGTGTTTACAGCATTTACAGGTCCAGAGAGATTGGCAGACAAGTGCCATTTTAATAAAAATTTATTTAAAAGAAAAAGACAATATACCGACAGTCTAATCATAAGATTTGTCCTATAGGACTGTGACATTTATTTTCCAAAGTTTCTAAAGAATACGGGTCTGTGGTGATAAATACAGTACAATCCTTTTTCACTGTTAATGTCTTTAATGTAAGAGAAAAAATATATATATCTGGTTTGCAGTATTAATGTGATAGATAGATAGATGCTGTTTTTCATTTTATTGACTACGGGGTGCTTCTTGTGATCTGTTTAGCATATTACGAGTGTTTTGGAGCCTGGAGATCGGACCACCTCTTGTGGTTCTTAGCGCTTAAGTACAGGAATATGCAATTGACTTAATGTGACAGCGATCTGCCTCCCCAGTGTAGATTGTGTAGCCTGTACCTTCCGGAGGGACGAGTGTGCTCACCACAGTTGCTCGCCGCCCTTCCTGCCGCCTCATCCCCGTGTTGCTCAGCTGGTGAAGCACAAATGGAATTTATTTATTCTTCCATTGCTGGGAGACAGGTTCATGTGTCAGAGTGCGCTTCTCTGTGTGCGAGCATCTGCTAGACGAGTTTCCTAGGATCTATGCACTGAAACACATGGAAAGCTGTCAGTGGTGGCTCTCTGTTGGGCATGAGGCCAGCAGGCAGCATCGGAGCCTGCCCTGGGGAGGCTCGCCACCTGCTAGGCCCCCAGAGGGCACAGCCTGCTGTTGGGGTTTGCACTGGGGGCCCTCGATGTGGGTTTGCCAATCTAGAAACTGTTGCACTAAGAGTGCCACCATGGACGATTATAAAGGATAACAAGACAACTCTGTTTGTGCTGAATGGGCTTTTTGTCCTTGTACACAATTTTGGTAAGAATCAAATCCATGTTTCATGTAGAAATTCCGGGAAGGGGCTGGCCCTTCCCTAGTGCTGCTTTGTGCTCTAGGTTTTCTCTCTCCTGCCAATGTCCCCTCCCCAGCCCTAGTGACATTTACCTCTGGCACTGCGGTCGGGTGAGGCCCAGTGGAGGGCCCCATGCAGAGTGAGCGCCCACCTCTGCCTTCATTGTCCACCTGCTTTGGAGGCGGTGGGAGGGGCAGTGAGCCCAGCTGCAGCAGCCCTGGGCACTTCGCCTGGATTCGGGGCAATGACAAAGGTTTTGCCTATTATTTGTGAAGATTCACACTTGGAGTAAGGTATGTGTGTGTGCGTGTGCGTGATTGTGTGTGTGTGCACATGTGCGGGCGTCTTATTAATGGCATTGCTGTATCTTTTTTTTTTTTTTTTTGATCTTTTGGAACGACAGAAGCCTCCACTGTAAGAAACGTTGGAATTCCTTGTCGTCTTAATGGCGAGTGGCACTTTCTCCTCTTTTCAGAAGGACATAGATATACTCGTAGCTTAAATTACCAGGTGCACTCAAGCTAAAGAGGGAATCTTTTGACTAATTAACTTTTAAAATCTGAAATTAGGTTAGTTTTTGGCCATTTTTAGAATCATCTGGAACCCTGTATCTCAAAGGTATGTTTCTGCCACCTGCACTAGGATCTCAGTTGTCCAAGGAACGGTGGTTCTTATTAAAATGCAGATTCCTGGGCCTGCCGCAAACCTCCTGAATTAGATTCTCCAGGGCTGGGGCATGGTACCTGCATTTTAAAAGATCACTTGCAGCCCCTGGGCTCCCTGAAGTCTGAGGACCCTGATGGGGCTTTCTGCTTCCATACCGTGGGACCAGCAGGGAGGACTCCTCAGCAACATAGAAAGCATTTTCTAAGCTGATGCCTAGGAAGGATTTCATGCTGGTAGAAAATTAGACCTATAAAAAAATTTTTTGTGTGTCATTTTGAAGGAAAATTTTCTTTTTAGTGGGCCAAAGTACTTTGAGAAGGGTACTTTTTATAGCCCTATGCTTGTTTATAAAACGTTTAATACTAAAACATTAACAGACCAAATGTCTCCAGTTGGGTCGGCTGCATACCTTTGTAGATGTCTGATGATTCGGAGTTTAAATGGCTGTAGTTTCAATTTCTCAGGTAAACAATTGTTTTCCCAAATTTCTACCATTCCCCCGTCATTAGGATGAATTGTGAGACAGCATAAAACCTCAAAGTACAGTAGGTTAAGTCCCAGCCCTGTTCACACGCAAGCCGGTAGTGCCAGCCAGAGCGAGGGGCCCTGGGCCCTTGGGGGTCCCCAGGAAGCGCCGTCCTTTCCCGGCCTTCACTGCTCCCCCAGGGCACTGGGCCATTAGGGTTGGCAGGGCAGCGCCCACTTGCTGGCTTTGTCCCCACCCCACTGTTAAGTAAGGTGTGCCTTGCTTTAAGCAAACTGAATGTGAAGATGATGATGTAGGAATCTGGGTTTTATTTAAAATGAAAACTGGGATTTATCTTGTCTCTTTAAGAGAGTTCTCCCAATTAGATTCCTGTACTGGGACTTTTCCTAATATATTTTAAAATATTCACTTTTTAAAAAACATTGATGTACTCCCATCCCTTTACCACTATCTAGTACATTCTACAAGTTCCAATAACAGAGTGATTAGAGAAACCCGGGGGAGCTGTTTAAAGTTGCCATTTTGTATAAGAGCCCTTTGGTACTGCAAAGACACCATCCTGTTATTTGTGTGTCATAAGCTCAAATTTTCCTAGTCTAGATAAATTTTGTAAAACTGGGCATAACTGTACTTTTAGAAAGGGATTGTTTTATTTTGGTTTTGATTTTTTTGTTTCAAGAAGTATTTACATACACACTTTTGATACTGCATTTTAGGGCCTGCTTTTTCTTTTCAAGAGTATGTTGCTTTTGGCAGTGTTCTCACACTTCATCGAATGAATGTTTGCACTCTCTAGAGTCATTGCATTGGCTCGCCCAAGAGGGAGCTGTTGGAAACAGGGAGTGATTTCCATGCTGTTTGAGGCTGGCCTAAACACTTCTATTACATGTTTACCCCATGACTGAGTGCTCATCAGAAAGGACAATGTAAGTTCAGTTCCTGTAGTGAGGTTGGGGGGAGGGAATTTTATTGTTGTTATATGTTATTTTTATTGTTGTTAAATGCAAATGTTGCTATTTATTTTTTCCTCTCTGCTCTGGTTTGACCTTGGCCAATGTGGATATTCCAGTGCATGTGGTACCTGATGGATATGATAGAAGTTATTTTCCCCAACTTTTATAAATTGCCTAATGTTTATCTTCAAGTTTGCCGGATGATTTATTTTTGAAAGCCACAAATGTAATTTTTCTGGATGGATTGTTTTTCTTATATATGCAGCAATGTAATTTTACATTGATCTGTGGGGTGATTTAAATTTTATTTTTACAAGGCAGTTTTTCAGTCAAATTATATATTTGATACAATATGTTAAGGATAGAGACCAGCCAAGCGTCATGTGGTGGGGACACCAGAGTGTCCCTTGGGCCTTTGGGGGCTGGGACGCTCCTCTTGGTTGCTTGTCATGGTAGCACTTGGCGTGTTTCACGAGCCTGCAGGAACTGGATGGATGGAGTCCTTCAACCTGACTTTGACCTGTTGGACAGTGAAAAGGATTTTTCATGGGCATTTTCCTACACCTAAGGCAGTTCCATTAGGAGGAGCTTTAGAAGTTGACATAATCCAGACAGTGGACAATCCCAGTGGCCCAGACAAGCCATAAGAAATTTTCCTGTGACCTCTCTTTGACTCATCTCTCACGCTCATGAGTAAAGGAATGTACAATAAATAGAAACAGAAACTTCCTCAGTGTTCATATGCCTCACTTGCAAAATGCAAATATTTTATTTATATTTAAGCCCTTCCCCAAAGTAACCGAGAATATTCTCTGTAGCTGCCGTGCCAGCAGTTTCGTCTGCTGTGACGTTTTTCGATGTAGACATGGCGCACGTGTGACGTTGTAATGGGGGTGTCCATATTACACACATGCTGACTCATTTTTGTAAGGAAAATTTTCAACTCAAAATAATTGCACTGATTTTTTGACAACGTCTTTTTATTATGTCCAACTTTGCATCTGCTGTACTTGTTTGAAATGATTGTAAATAGATTTATGGTAGAAGAAATGCTATGAATGCAACATGTTACTTCGTTTTAGTGATACTGCCACATTTTTCAGTATTATCGTTAGAGCTATGTGGACTTAATTCTGTTCTTCTTCTTAGCCTGGTGTCTGTTGACCATTCATGAAGGACAAATTAGCCTCATGTTCTTGTTTTTCTGGAAGGAAGTTTTCAATCTATTAAAAGGAGGGTATGCTCTCTTGATGTCTGAAGATTTTATCTTAAGAGGATTAATTATAAATGTGTTGAACACTTTTGGTCTGTTTAATTCCTTGTTATTTGCCATGGCTCCTAAAGCATCTTCTGGTTCCATCCAGCCTTTGACAGTTTAGATAGGCGGCATCTGCATGGCCCATGTCAATGGAACGCAAGGGCCTCCTTTGCGTCTCTTTGGTCAGAAGTCATTTTAAAGCCATGAGGTCACTGTGTGTCAAGACTGTCGTGTGTGGCTACACCCATAGATGCCAGAGAGACTAGAGGCGCAGTGCTGTTCCCGTACACTTGCGATTTTGCTGGAAGTACCTGCTCCAGCCCCCAGTGTGGGAGTCTGTCTGTGGTCGGGCTATCCAGGGTCAGACACAGAAAGGGATTTTTGAACCCGAACCTGTGTGTGTGTCAGCGTCACGTCTGCTCTGTGTCATGGCGCCCTCATGCTTCTTTCGATATGTTTTGCCATTTTATTGTCTAAGGTGAATGTATTGGCTTAGCCAAATCACTACAGAAGGTGGTTTCTAAATACCTTTTAGTTAAACACAGATAAAGATAAAGGCTACCTCTGAATTCTCAGTAGATTCATCATGTTTGCTCTTAAGCGTAGCTGTCCACACTGAAAATAGCCAAAATGTTGCCTGAATAAACTGAATTGTGAACATCTCTCTGTTCAGTTCTGGCTTGAAAATTTGTGTGCCATACTGTGATCATGGGCAGCCCCCGCCACCACCTCTGCTGTGTCAGGTGGACCAGGGACTCCAGCGCTGCCCAGCTCCGAGACTCTAGGATTCTAAGAGGCCAGCATGAATGACATGGGAGGGCTTTCCTGCATGGGACAACGCACTGTCCTCCCAGGCTGGCAGGAGCATCTCTGTGCAAGGCTACGTGTAGCAAAACCTTGAAACAGCCTGCGTCCTGCCTGGCTTTTCCCTTTCCTGTTTAATGTAAGAAAGCACTTTTTTTTCTTTCTGCTTACTTAGGAATGGGTTGAAAATGGCTTTCTCTGCTCTCTTCTCCCATTTTATACACTCTGTAAAATCATGAAGGTGCTTAAACACTCTTGTGCTAGTGATATGTTTAAAATAGTTGGCATGGTTTCAGAAGACAATGCAGATTGGATTGACCTTTGACTTTGGGACCTTGAATTACTATCACTCCCCACTTAAAAATGAAAAAATGAACTGAGGGTTGAAAGCTAAGCATTCTGTGCAAATCCAGGGCCCTTTGTTTGAAAAGGACATGAAGACCCACACCTGGCGTCTTCAGTACAACTTCCCACTAGGGGCGCTGTGAGCCGTCCGGTGCTGACTTGCAGGAGGGCTGTCCTGGGAGAGCTGATGACTGAGCACCCCTCCTTGTGATTAACCACTTTGCTGTCAGAAACGTCATTTACCCACACACTGTACTGGGGACCCTGGCCTCCTCCTTTTTCTTTAGGTTCCTTATGTTTGCTAATCTTCAGAAGGTTAGCATTCCCTCCATAGCACCTCCATCGGTTTGCTTCTGAATTCTGGAGGGACAGGCAGATGGTTTTACAATTACAGACATCTGGGTGTCTGGAAGTAGCTCTGTTCTCATGTTGGACGCTCATCAGAGATTGACTTTGGCCCAGAGGGGTTCAACACATCATTACCTGGAAGTAATTGCCTTTAACACTGTTGTTTTAGGTTTTGATGCTTTTTATGCTACATGGTGTGCTTTAATTCTGAAAGAGCTAAGTGTCCTTTGCAGTCTTTCTAAGAATGTCTTGTAATTCTGCCATCACACTGTTCTGTATGTACAGGCCACCGCAAAGCGTGGGCGTTCAGGGTGGACACCTCCCCGTCTGCTGGCCTGCTTCATGGGCTGCTTGGGTCCTCTGGGTCAGCCTTGGGTTTCAGCCAGAATCCGACCCAAGTTTGTTGGAGAGGACACTGCGTACGGCCCCACTCCTCGATTCAGTCACATGAACTGTCGCACTCAGATCTGCCCGTAAGCTTTTTGCACGCGCATTTCCAGAATGCTGGGGTGGGCCTCCCTCACCACGTTTGCATTTGTGAAAGATTACTCCAAAATGAGAGAACTGAAGGTTACTGGTGTTTTTGATAACACTTTTCTATCTTCTTGGTTGATGTGGAAAATTTAGATGTGTTAAGTCTCTAAAATGCCTTGGTGGCATGACTGAAGGGCTAAGACCTCACCTCACTTTATCTCCTTTTGGGGGGAGTGAGAGGAGGCTGAATTATCTCCTACTTAAATCCTCTGTGGATGTAAGTAGTTGAGAGTTAAATCTAAAACACCAAATATTAACTCTTTCCCCAAATTGTCTCCAGGAACTAGACATCGAGGCCACCCGCATTCAATTCTTTCTGCCGCTTCAAAGGTCCTTAAAATTAGTGATTTTATCCCAAGAACACCCCACACCACTGGCCGGGGGGCGTGATGCAGACTGCTTAACAGATCGAGGTGCTCTTGCAGGGGACCTGAGTGAGCCTCCTCTGAACTCTGGAAATGGTGTGCACAGTCTCGCAGGGTGGGAGGGGGCAGGCCCCTCCGTCCCAAGAAGCAGGTGGTGGTCCTCCCTCTGGTCCCATCAGTGCCAGCCTGATTGTGTTCTGGAAGACTCAGTCTCAGACTCTGTGCCTTTAAAGTCCGGTCCTCAGCGTCCTTTCAGAATCATGTTGGGGCTGCGTCTCTCTTGGGAAATAAGCCTGTACCATTCCACGAGTCAGTCACTGACCTCCTGCCTTGGAAGCGACTTCTGTCTGCTCCTCAGCTCCTGACGTGGTAAACTGTGGCGCCGTGCACAGCCTAAGCTGCAGGCGAAGCACTCGGTTCCGGTTGCGTGGTTCCACCCACGCCCTGACAGGTCCACCTCTGCTGGGACTTCAGGAGGTTGGTGCATGACCCATCTCTTGAGTCAGTCAGTGACCATGACCTTCAGTAAAGCCTGGTGGTTTTATTCTCATAGTCAGTCAACAACAATATTTATTGTAATGGAAGTAGATTTTTTAAAAAAGGAATTGGAATCATGTCTTTGTAAAATGCTTTCGCAGTCGTCAGATGTAAGGTGCTATTCAGTCCTTCTCTCCTTATTTTAGAGTGCTTTTCATTATTGTGGCTCTGTTTTGTGACTTGGGGAAACTGCTGACTTAGGTGTGTTGTCACCTTGAGCTGTGCACATAGGATTCCAATTTTGACGTATCTAACGTGCAATTTTTCTCTCTAACTTCTTCAAGCCAGGTATTGAGCAGTTTTTTGGCCGATGGTCTAATTAAAACCCACCCTTCCCCATTAAGGGATGGTTTTATTGGTTTTAAGTGGGGAAATAACCCAGTGTACTCATTTTTAATCCACAGAAAACCATTCCTTAGTTGCTCCTCTTGGCTTGTCCCTCTCCCCAGACCCTCTGCTCTGAAAGGCAGCAACAACCTTTCTCTGTGGAGGCTGGCCGAGGAGGGGGTGGTACGTTAACAATTTTGGTTCCTCTTCAAAGCCAGACAGACATGTGTGACTCACATCCTAAACTATATAGTTTAGCATTAAATTCAAATTCAAGTCCTGAGTTTAATAGTGAATTTTATTGTAGTTGTTAAAGGTATGAATTCATGTTTTATAACTGTAGAGGCAAGCAAGTTTTATGTTTTAAAAAGTTTGAAGGGAATAATTGTAAGTTTCTGTGCAGCAAAGTGGCTAATTACTCATCAAATACAAGAAGAGAATGTAGTATCTAAATCCAGATTTTTCTTACCTCTGGTACACTTCAGATTACTTACCTAATATGTATTGAGGGGTTTTAACCCTTAGTTTTGTCAATTTTTCTAGTTTTATTTTATTTTTATAAAATAATTGAAAAAGAACCAAAAATGAATTCAGAAGTTCCATACATGGGTTTTGCCCCTTCTTGATTTTCCCCCCCACAGTAAAAACATTTTAGAAGACATTTTGAATCAAAATGTATTATGACCATTTAAAGTTTACTATTTTCTAAGAAGCCGAGCAACTCAAAGGGCCTCATTTCAGGTGGTACTCTATGTATTGTCTATGGACTCGTTTATACCTGTACAGTGGAGCTATGTGATGTCTTGTGCTTGCAGTATGGAAACCATGCAGTGCTGTTTTGTAAATTAACAGTTCCTGTATAAACTATTATTTATATACATTGGCCTCTCTGTATAAGTTTTCATTTGCTACATGGATTGTAAAATTAATTATGAAATTATAATACCTGCTAAATACAATTCTGAGGCTTCATGTCATTGTCTTTAGTTTAATACCATGCCGTGTGTCTTGGATGTCCAATGCTTGCATGATACTAGGTGGTGATGCCACTTTAAATTAAGCCTTAATCAGATGTTAAATTTGTAAGTTTCAGAGTATGCAAAAATATTAGCAGAGTGAGTTTAAACTGTTCAGATTAAGATGCTATATAATAATTCAACAAGTCTTTTCTTTGGAGTTAAAAAGGGAAGCATTCAGTGATACACCTCTTTCCCTCCCTCGCTCTCTTCCTCCTCATGTCTCCCCCTCTTCCTCCCTCCCTACCACTCTGTCTCTACCTCTCCCTCCCTCTAACCCGCTTTCTCTCCCCCTCTCTGGTCTGGCTGGGCTGTTGCCATTGCATGGTGAAAGTGGACCATTGTGCTTTTCTGTGGCAGTCAGTCAAAAAGACCTGTTCTGAAAGTCTTGAGACTTTTTCAGGGTTATTTTTCAATGTTTGGGTTTTTTTCCCCCCTCCAGTCTGAGATTTATTTATGGCTGATGGAGTATACGATCTTGGTGTGGGTCTTATTTGCAAACCTGCTCATGTTCTAAGCTTTCTTCAGGTAGTGCCACCTGTCATTGCTTTTGCATATGATTAAAATGGATTTTTGTTTTTGTAAAAGCATCTTAAATTTAGAGATAAAATGGAGGGGACCCAGCTTTCTCTACAATGTGGATCTACCTCAGTTAAACAGTTGGGTGCTATTTACTAAGTCTGTCAAATTAAATTGGAAAAAGTAACCAAACAGATTCAACTCCACACGAAACTTGAAACCCTAATTTCCGTTTATTTAATAATATTTTTATTTATTTTGTGCCTTTTATGTTGAACCCTAATGCATTAGATCAGTATAAAATTAAATATTTTATATTACAGATGGGGAGAAAAGCCCAATTGGTCATGGAATTTTATAGATTTTCCCCAGCCAATTACTATAATATATTAGAATCCCAACTGCCCTCTTGTGAAGAGAAAAAAAAACTTACATCCAAGAGCAAATTAGCATTTTACAAACAATAAATTCCAAACTCTTCTATGCACATATTTATAACTATCACTTCATTTTCTGCGCCAATGAAGGGGTGGCCAAAAATAAAAAAATCAGAAGTCCTCTTACCAATGCTTTTCTAGCCATTCATGCCCCTTCCTCTGGCACATTTTTGTTAGAATTTATTTCATAAGCAGCAAATGGATTGTTGTGAATTCCACCTCTCCTGACTTACCTGCTGGGTGCTAATGACCATTGACAGAGAAAGGGGAGAGTCGTGGCTGTCTGGAGGCAGAGCCCTGCATTCATCTGCAGGGTCTCCATAGGTTAGGAAAACTTCGACAGGTAAGAAAGGAGCTCTGTGACTTTCCGTGCTTTTATATTTGGCAGTTTACAATTCTAGACTTTTCCTACGATAGCAGTCTCTTCCCCCCCCCCCACTTAAGTCTTTGGAGGCAACACAATATTTTGGAGTCTTAAGAATTTGACTTTATACCAATAAGAAATAAAAAAATGAGAGATCTTTCCTGTAGTATGTAGTTTTACTGTTTCAAAGAGATCTCTGAATTTACAAGAGAACCAACATTCCTTACTGGCAAAATTTTGAAAGCTGATTTGGGAGGCTTTTTGCTAAAGGATCTCAAAAAAAAAAGATTTTAATTTTTTTAACTTCCATCAGGTTAATACTTAAGCTATATTTTATAAAGAATAAACCATCCTTTTAGTATGCTGCATATAAAGATCGGCATTGTTGCACTTTCTCAGTTATAATAAATGCCCTACAATTGGCTCATCAGTAAGCATTTTGTTTTTAACCTAACAAGAGTACTTTGGGGCAGGCAATTAAATTTATATAGGTACCTCAAAAAAAAAGAACCTGAATATGCTGCATTTTATTTCTTTAGCTTTTACATGTAGCATTTTGTTTTGTTATTTTGTTTAGATATATGCTTTTTGGACCCCATTAGAGTGTTGAAAGAAATTTTAAAGTTACTCTTGTAGAGATATAATATCCTTCCTTTTTTTTAAATCTTACTGCAATATTTCGTTCAAAGTTTGCCCTATGTTAGATTAATACTTTACCCAAATACACCCAAGGAAAAGGATAGCACGTTTACAAGCAGACAATGATGTTCCAAATCCTTTCTGTTCATGCTGCTTTCTTAATTTCTTTCTCCATGTCATCGAGGTTGGATAACTCATTTCTAAGCTCAAAAGTAAAAATCATGGCATCTTAATTTTTTTTCGACACAGATCTCAAAAAATTGCCATTGAGTAAGTAGCATGATCCTAAATGTACTGGTGAAATTAGGCAGCCCCGTCAACTGGTCTCCCTGGAGCGCCAGTCTGCCAGTCTTCTCACCTCTATTATTCCTCAACACTCGCCCCAAACTGAACAGAGGGGAGTGGCTTGATTGACAAGATAAAACTAGTGAAGAAAGCTAAATGCTGAGAGAATGAGCATCTATTGTCATGTTTAAGCTTAGCTGGGTCCTTTCAAGTTTGTTTTTTACAGCTTACTAGGTTAAGTAGTTTGCACTATTTTTGCAATAAATCCATGGAAAGCCTAACAGTTACTTGTTTTGTTTCTTACTGTGTGTATATAAACTAATACTAAAAGTTTGGCATAGTGTTTTTTCACCTCCATACATAATCCCTAACATGCACAGAATGCTGTAAATCTGATGAAATATGATGTGAATGATATTTTATAAAGTTATTTTGTATGGTGTCAATTTTGTTTTGCCTCATAGTATGTCAGCAAAAAATAAAATTAAATTCCTCATATTTACAGCTGCCTCTTCCAAACGCATTTATTTGAGCACTTCTTTTGGCACAGGTCAGAGTCCAGGTGTCCGAGGTGGGAGCATGTCCCCAGCGATGGAGCTCCAGAGCCCCGTCAACACGCAGCAGGGCTGTGCCTTGAAGGATGCACTCAGCAGAGCTAGGCGCTGCCTGAGAATTTGGCATGAGTCGGACAGGAGTGGGACCACCGAGGTATCTCGGATAGTTGGATGTTTCTTCTCTAGCAAGCCAGGAGGGAGGATGAAATAAAAAGCCATTCAGTGAGCCCCAGTCATGTGCACAGCCCCAAGCTGGTCACGTCCTGGTTCTCAGCCTGGTGGTCACTTAGCCCCTCCACCAGCGCTAGGTTTACATACATTGGCCTGCTCTGAAGTTGCTGGTGGCCTCACTCTGATGGGGCTGTTTTAGACTTCTGTCTATCCTGAAAAGAATACATGCTGCAGGGAAAAGAAAGTAGGGTTGGATTAAGAAAGCCAAAGAAATGGCAGAAAACCCTTAGGATGTACATTGTTGCTAAAGCAGGCCAGCCAAGGTTTTGTTCTCATTTAAAACTATTTTCTGATTTTTAAGAATGATATGTATTTATTACAGAAAATAATGAAAATTCAGGTAACAATGAAGATGAAAATTTCAAAATATCTGATTATAATTATACTAATAGGTAATTAATTGTCTATTAATGGTCTTTTTTTTTCCAGACTCTTTATTTTTTTTTTAAACAAAATCACGCTGTGCTTATTTCTTAATGTATCTAGAACCCTGTCTTTCTTAGTATTTAAAACTACAAACCACCTTTGTGCCTACTGGCCCTGGGACATAAACGAATCACAACTGAAAGAATATATAGAAACTGATGAGATCTATAACAATATACTCAATATGGCCTATCTTAGTTATATTCTCCCTATTTCACCACCATTTATTGAATGGCCAGAAGCAGTCAACATCTGATCGGAAGGACTTAAATAAACATAGCAGTGTTTGATGGTGTTGTATGAATTAGGAAAAGATTCCAGATAACAGATACTTGATTGGAGGATGTGAGATGGATGTTTATGCTCCATATAGGAGAAGGAGCCCCTATCAGCAGAAAAGGAAGGGTGATGGAGGAGAGGAGTAGGATATAGAGTGAGGTCAATTGTCAAGAGCCTTGAATGCCAAGTTGATAATTTACCCCATAGACAGCGCTCAGACACTGCACTTTTTAAAGCCGCATGGTCTGGTGAAGAGCCCAGCCTGAGATTTGAATCCCAGTTCCACCACTTCCTAGGTATGTCTTGGACTAGTTCCTTAACCCTAGATTCCATTCCCTTTTATGTTAAATGTGGTTATTTACTTTGCAAGTTGTGAGGATTCAATGAAAATACACCCAATGCACAGACAGAGCTCAGCCCCCACTGGCTACTCAAAATATCAGCTATTTTTAACACTTTTAACCAGGAAAAGGAGAGTAATCTTCACAAAATCATTTTGATAATCTGATAGCAGTATGCAAGATGGTAAGGAAATGAGTTAGGAAGCTACTGTAAAGTCTAGCACGTGGTTCAAGGAGGAACCAAAAAAGCTAAGTGCTACCTAAATGATTGGATCTGAAGTGCTTATGGTGGGTTAAGAATGTCTCAGCTGGTTAAACACAGAAACCAGTTAATATTTTTCCTGGGGATTGGTTAAACAACCTCACAATAGTAAAGATGCAGATACTGAGGCCAAGCACAGCACTTCAAAGAGACTGACATAGGAGACTGTTGTGATTGGGTCTGGCTATGAGTTTTTAGATATGACACAAAAAGCACGATCCATGAAAGAAGAAATTGATAAACTGGACTTCTTCCACATTAAGACCTGCTCTTCAAAAGATGCTATTAAGAGAATGAAAAGACAAGCTCAGAGACTGGGAGAAAATGTTTACAAATCACATATCTGGCAAGACTTACATTCAGAATATATAAAATTCAAAACAAAAACTGATACCAAGTTTTGCAGAGCATCTGGAACTCATTAACTGCTGGTAGGAATGCAAAATAGCAGAGTCATTTTGGAAAATAGGTTAGCACTTTCTTATAAACTTAAATATACAATTCCATTCATAAGTATATATCCAAGTGTAATGAAATCCTATATTCTATAAAACCTGTGCACAAATGTCGATAAGGCTTTATTTGTAATTATCAAAACTGGAAATAGGCCAGGCACAGTGGGAAGTCATGGCAGGATGATTGCTTGAGGCCAGGAGTTCAAGGCCTGCCTGGGCAACATAGCAAGACCCCATCTCTACCAAAAATAGAAAAAACTATCTGGGTGTACACTTGCAGTCTCAGCTACTTAGGAGGCTGAGGCAGGAGGATTGTTTGAACTCAGGTGTTGGAGGCTGCAGTGAGCTATGATGATAATGCCATTGCACTCTAGCCAGGGTGACAGAGCAAGACTGTCTCCAAAAAAAAAAAAAAAAAAGCAGGAAACAACCTAAGTAATTATCCAGGTACTTAGGAAATGGATAAACAAATTGGTATATCCATACAATGGTATCTTACTCAGCAATGAAAAGGAAGGGACTACTGATAACCTGCAACATGGATTAATCTCAAATGCATTATGCTAAATAGAAAAATAATAGACTCAAATGCTACATACTGTATGATTCCATTTATATGACATTCTGGAAAGGACAGGTCAGCAAACTATAGTCTGTGAGCCAAATCCAGTCTTGTTTTTACACAGTATGTAAGCTAAGAAGAATTTACATTCTTAAATGGCTGGAGAAAATCAAGAATATTCATGATACATGAAAATTATACAAAATTCAAATTTCAGTTTCCAGAAATAAAGCTTTATTGAAATACAGCCACGCTTATTCCTTTACACATATTATCCATGGCTGCTCTTGTACAACAATGGCAGTTTAGTAGTTTTAACAGATTAGCACACAAAGCTTAAAACTCCTGCTATAGGGACAGAGAATAACTCAGTGGTTGCCAGGGTAAAAGGTGGGGATGGATTTGACCATAAGGGAATTTTTTAGAAGAACTGTGGTATCTAAATTGTAGTGGTTACATGACTATATTTGCCCAAACTCAGGACTACATGCCAAAAACTAGATTTTAACATATTTTATTTTAAAATAAATTTTTATAGACAAGAGGGACAGAAAACAGCAGTGGTTGCGGGGGGTGGGGGAGACTAACTTCAAGGGTGAATGGGAATACTTTGGATAGAACTGTTCTGCATATTGACTGGTTATAAAGCATCTGTCAAAATTGAGTTTGGACACTAAAAGGGTAATTTGCTGGATGTAAATTATAACTCTTTTTTTTAAGATATTAAAAAGACAGGAGCCAAACATTTACCCTATATGGGGGGAAAATAAGGCTTATGGTTTTCTCTTACTGACAACAGAAGGATTTAAAGCAAAGAATAGTAAGATCAGAGTTATCTTCAATATACAAAATGTTTTTTAAGAACATGCTTATGCAGAGGAAATACTTATTTTTCTATTTGATTTGGTAATTTTGACTTGGAATTATCCTTTGGAAATAAAAGTGTTAGAAATGCTTATTTTTAAATTTCACAAAATTCTCAGACAGTAAGCAAAACATTAGAACAGAGGACTCTAAAACTAATTCCATAAAGCATTTTTGTAAAAATATGTACAGATCTTTAATAGAAAAAGGAAAAGTATATTTCTTTACAGTAAAAAAATATTTGAATAATCAAATTCTTATAAAATACAAAAATTTAGATGTAACATACTACCTACAAAGTACAAATTTAGCTAAAACTGAATCTAGTTGTTTATAAGAATTCCAAAATATACACATATGAATTTATACAACTGATATTTAGAAGCTCTTCAAAATCTATTTGAAAATCAAAAAATTAAGCAAAATCATCTTTGCCTCTATAGTTTAGAGCAGCAGCCTATCAACTAGCAGTGCCTGACTGTGCTGGCACCTTTTTTGGTGACCTCTCACTGCAGTGTGGGCCTGCAGCGAGACTGCTGCCTGGATTACTTTCCCTTTGGCTGTTTATGGCGAAGGTGCGTGAGATGCTCATCTTAGCCAGCAAAGAATACGACAAACTGGAAGTCTCTAAGGCACAACAGTGCCACACTTCGGTGCTAATCCAGGAGGCTCCTCACCAGGCAGACTTTTAAAAGCACTTGTTTGGTTTAGGATTCAGCTTCATCATCATCATCATTTTGATCATCGTTGTCATTCTCCTCCTCCTCATCTTCTTCCCTCTTTTCCTCTTTTAGCATTTTCAGGTACTTACTAGCTAAAATCTTCTTTGGTAATATATCTTAAAAACATAAAGCTCACATCAACAATTGGTTATGGCAGACTATGAATACAGCAATGCAAATTTCAGAATGTACTAGTTTCTGCTTTGATCTCTTACAACAGGTTGCAAAACAAGACAAAATTTAGGCTATGTTGCTGGGTGGAACATGAGAGAAACCAGCATTGTCTCCTGACTAATGCTATAGACCTGTTCCCATTCTACTGACCACAAACCATGGTGCCCTATGCCTGCAGTCCCAAACCCCCAAGCCTTGAACCCGTGTGTGGCCTGTTAGGACCAGGCTGCAGAGCTCCTCCAACCCTCCACCCCAGCCGTGGAAGAATTGTTTTCCATGAAACTTAGGAAGTGGGGGGGGGGCGCACAGCAGGAGGTGAGCTTCATCTGTATTTACAGCCATTCCTCATCGCTGGCATCACTGCCTGAGCTCTGCTGCCCCGGCCCCCCTCAGTCTGTGGAAAAACGGTCCCTGGTGCCTAAAATGTTGGGGACTGCTGCTCTATGCATATTTTTGTGAACAACACTCCCCAACCTAAGATAGGCTGTGCTGGCCCCATGGGTAGACTTAAGCTCTTTTTAGCTGTGGGGCTGTTTCCACAGCAGCAAATACTAGTTTCTCTGTTTCTGGGGCCTAGTAGACTGGCCCCGAGTGTTCCCTTCAGTGGCAGGGAGAGTCCTGAAGGGGGCGGGGGCTGCCCACCTCACCCAGCCAACCACAACACCTCGTGCATGTTGTTGACTTCATTATCGTTCTAGGCGGACCACGTTACAAACATGCAAACAGAGAAGATTAAAAATATCTTCCTGTGCCAGGCCATGGTAAACTTTGGCACCTGGAGAAAGCAGCAAAATGTCTCATTCAGTGAAGAGAGAACAGGAAAAAAAAAAAAAAGCTGTAATAACTATGTTTTTAACCAGAATGTTTCAAACACTGAGTACCTGCAAGAAACTGAAAAGTTTCGGATTCCTCTGCAGTATTTGCTAAATCACTGTAAGTCAGTGCTTTCTTTTCCCTTCCACTGCCATGTCTGTAGGAATAGGAGGCTAGATATTGAACAAAGAGTTCCTAAAACAAAATGAAAAAATAAAATGAAAGGCGTGCTTTAAAAACTTACCATAAAGCTTAATTTTTTAAATTACCTTAAGTTTATAAGCTTATATTAAGTTTAAAATTACATCAACACTACAGATTATCTTGGTTTCTCAAATTAAATTACAAGAAACCACTGGGAAAAGGAAAAACATGAGGTCAGAAAGAAAGCAAGGCCATACCAAAACTGGCAGGGAAGCAGTCATTTTCCAGAGGCTTATTTTAGATATCTAACTTATGAGAAATATTTAACAGTGATTAAAAATGAATCATAACTGTTTATGACCAACCTCTACAGTAAAAGAAGAGAGCAAAAGATCATTCAAAAATTCTGTATGGCTCAGGAATACATTTTTGGTCTTCTATTTTGAATACACTGTTTCTAAGGTGGTTCACCTACAACTACACCACAGTCAACAACCTGAAGCTGTAAACTGACATTTGCCATTTTGCCCACTTTTCTATGCTGGGAACTAGCACATAATCCTTAGAATGACCTAAAGCAACAACCTAAACTGAGCCTCTTTCTCAAGGTTTTTACTTTGTTTAATCCATTTAATTCAGTTAATATGGGAATAGAAAGTGCCTGCATAAATCTTAGTTCCTTAATCCTAACAGAATGAAATTGTATAGGAAAACACAAATGTCCCCAAATCACATGTTGAGTAAACAATTATTTCCCTGGGCTCTAAGAAAGCATGCCTTTGGCATAAAGCAGGCAAGAAATTGCCATTTCCCCTTTCCTCAGCTCTAGTCCAACATACTAAAGGGACACCCATGTACCCGACACGTAGAGACTGGAAAACAGAATCTAAGGAAAGTTAAAGCATTTAACTGTGACCCTATCTCAAAACAAAAAAGTTTCTGGCTCACCACTATCAAAACTAAATAAAAAATTACAAATTTATTTCGCACCCAGGAAGGGGCTGATGCAGTCGTAAAACTAAGTTCCCTGGAATTACTTAAATTCTGGCTAGGGGATGTGCTGCCAGGTTCGGAGGGCGGGCAGGTTCGAAAGTCCTGGAACCCCAGAGCCTGCGGGAGGACAGCCCCGAGCTACGGGGCAAGCACCCGGCCGCCTCCAGAGACCCCTGGCCCGCCGACCAAAGGGGCGCGCTGGCCCTCCCCCGAGGCACTAGAGGAGTTAGAGCCCCCAAACCATGAGGCAGGATAGTAGCTATAAAACGGAAAGCTTTGCAGCCCGAAGTAGGGGAACGAAGGTGGAGACGTAACCAAAGACCAAAAGAGGCAGGAACCAGCCTGCGCCGCCGCCCACCGAACAAGCTGGGCCACGGCCCGTCGCAAAGGAAGACGGGAGCGGGCCGGTGGGCGGGGCGAGGCCGCGCAAGGGTAGACAAGAGCGGGCGGTGGGCGGGGCGAGGCCACGCAAGAGTAGACAGGAGCAGGCCGGTGGGCGGGGCGAGGCCGCGCAAGGGTAGACAAGAGCGGGCGGTGGGCGGGGCGAGGCCACGCAAGAGTAGACAGGAGGGGGCTGGTGGGAGGGGCGAGGCCGCGCAAGGGTAGACGAGAGCGGGCCGGCGGGCGGGGCGAGGCCGCGCTAGGGAAGAAGAGGACGGGCCGGTGGGTGGGGAGAAGGCGAGTGAGGGAGGGCGGGAGCAGGCATATGGGCGAGGTGAATGCGCGCGCTGGCGTGGGCGCGGGCAGCGAGGCGCGCGCAAAAGCCCGCCCAGGTTAGCCCGCGGCGCGCAGGCCGAAGGGGACTGGGCAGTGCCCGGAGTTCGCGGGGCGGGGCGCGACGGTTAAGGGCGGCCCCACCCCCGCCCCTCTCCCCTGCCCACGCGGGGCCCGCTCACCGTGGCCTTGGCCGTGAGCACCAGCGCCTCCTGGTTGATGCTGGACACCTCGGGGGAGCTCTTCATTATGACCCGGATGCGGGACAGGGGCAGCGAGACAAGCCGTTGCTCCCCGCACTTGTCCTTGCCCACGACCACGTCCGCCATCTTCCCGCCCCGCCCCGCGGCGGCAGCCAGGGCCCGAGCGCGAGCGAGCTGGCGGCCCGACCCGTCGGCCGGCGCGGGGAGCCCGCGTCCCGCTGCCCCGTGGGAGTTGTAGTGTGGGGAGGCGCGGCCACGAGCCAGGAGCGGCCCTTCCGGGGGACCACAAGCCCCGTGATGCCCCGCGCGCCGCCCTCCGGGCCTGTGCCGCCCCGCCCGAGTGTGCGGATGTCTGTGGGAGTTGTGGGGAGCTGCGTAGGGATGGGGCGCGGCTGCAGGGGGGATCCGCCCCTTGGTGTGCGAGGGTAGGCGACACGGATTTTTTGTTTTTGTTTTGAGGCAGGGTCTGGTTCTGTCTCCCAGCCTAGAGCTTAGTGGCGTCATCATAGCTCACTGCAGCCTCCAACTCTTGGGCTCAAGGGATCCTCCTGCCTCAGCCTCTCAGGAGCTGTGACTTTTGGCGAAGGCCACCACGCCCAGCAAGTTTAAAATTTTTTTTGTAGAGATGGGATCTCACTGTGTTGTTCAGGCTGGTATAACTCCTGGCCTCAAAGGATCCTGCCTCTGCCTCCCAAAGTGGTAGGATTAGGAATGGGCTTTTTGAACAGTGGTTGAACTTACAACCAGTAAGCCAGGAAAGGTTTCAAATTCCGAGCCTTATCACATAGTAATTGCAGATCAAGTGCCTGTTCTTTGAGGACTGGGAATGCAGTGAACAAAAAGTAATGCTTTCTTGAAGCTCATGTTCTAGAGGAGAAGACAGAATAAATAAGCAAATATATACCATGTTTCCCCGAAAATAAGACAGGGTCTTATATTTATTTTTCCTCAAGAAGACACTCTAGGGCTTATTTTCAGGGGATGTGTTATGTTTTGTAAGTACAGTACAACAATCTACATTTATTCATATATAGTTAAGTTGTCTTCTTCTGGAACATCATCATAACTCTCCAAACCCCAAATTCCATCCTGAATTTCTTGCAACTCTATTTCCTTTAGAACCATTGGCCCTAATCTCTCATGTTGAGCAATAGAGCTCTCATTAAATGAGCAGATGAAAGGGGCTTCTCATCTTCTTTATCGCTCCTGACAAAATGCATGGGTTGTGCAGATACACTGGGTAGCCATGCCCATCACTAGGTCTTATTGTTGCGGTAGGGCTTATATTGCGCTAGGGCTTATTTTATGGGTAGGTCTTATTTTCAGGGAAACACGGTACTACACTGTCTGGTGGTGAGACATGGGGAAGGAAAATAAAGCAGTGTGGGAAGATACAGAGCAACTGGGGCTCACTCTTTTAGCGAGGGTGATAGGAAAGAGAAAATACTGCTCACCTCTGAAGATGTGTTTTCTTGGGAGAAGGAACTACAGATGCAAAGGTCCTGAGGCCTAGTGGGAACAGCCTTTTCAGGGAAGACGAGTGTGAGGACCAGGTGCGCTAGATGAGGTCTGAGAGGCAGCCAGGGCTAGGACTTGTTGGATTTTTTTTCCTAACAAAAATGGACAGTGGTTGAAGGGTTTCAATAAAGGAGTCATGAGCTGTGTTGTATCTTCAGTTTGAAAAAGATCCCTCTGGCTGCTGCTTGTGAAGCAGGGTAGAACTAGAGAGCCAGGAAGAAGGTGATTGATTACAAGAATGCAAGCTAGTGGTGATGAGGAGGCCAGTGAGTCTAAAGTGAAACTAGCTAAAAAAAAAGAATGACAGGAGGTAGCCAGGTCAAGTGGGTCCTTGGAGACCATAGAATTCTTTCTAAAAGAGTGGAGAGGCCTTTGGAAGAGTAAGGTGTCTCAACTTAACTTTTCCAAGAATCATGGAAAGTGGTAGGAATTGGGTCCTCATTTGAAGACAGAGCCAACAGGACTTGCTGACGTGCCATAGATTACCAGCAAAATGTACTGAGATATCAGAACTAGCCCAGTAAAGAGCCTTCTATTGAGATGGGCCACAACATGGGAGGAGCGAATGTGGCAGGGGTTTGGGTTGGAGTGTGTTAGGTTTCAATGTCTTCTTCGCCCTTGTGATCTCAGGTCCTGGCCCCAATAACTGAGTACAGAAATACATGCCAGGCACTACGAGGCACGAGGGTACAGCTGGTGAGCCGGACTTCCATGGTGCTCTCCTGGCACGCACTTCCAAGTCTGAGAGAGAACAAAAAATAAATAAGAACACTTCCAACAGTAACAGCTATGAAGAAAACAAAACCATGTGAGCATGGTAGGACAGCCTCTTTGAGAAGTGACATTTGCACTTAGATCTGAAGAAAAAAAAGGAGCCAGCAATGCAAACAGGCTGGGGCAAGATTAACTTTCTGAACAAGACAGCCTGTGGGAAGAACACCGGAGGAGGAAAATGTCTTGGCAACTGGAGGAACCAACAGACCAGTGTCACTGGAACTTAGTGAGGTAGAGAGCACGGGAGGTATGGTTACCAAGGTAGGTGGCACCAGCTCAGGCAGGTGGGTAAGAAGTTCGGCTTTCATTTTGAGGGCAATGGAAAACCATGAAGAGTTTTAAAGTAAGAGTTTTAAGGTCCACTTAAAAGCCCACACTAGTTGTCCAGTAATGACTAAATGGTACTATGCCCTGTGCAAATTCAATTTCTGTGGGTTTGCAGAGACAGGGGAGGCTGCTTCAGCCTCAGCATTCTGCTCTTTCTCTCCCAACCTTTCCTCTGTACATGGGAAAGCGCTTGACATTCACAAAAGACAAGGACAAGGAACTGCCCAACAAAAAAACAGCTACATAATGGGATCCTTTGGTCCACACCAGAAACAAGCTCTAATGTTGACATACTTTGAAGCTTTGAGATGTCTTGGTTCCTTATCTAGCCATTGTTTTTTGTATGGTTTATCTTTCTCTTTTGAATATGTTTGAGAACAGGATGGGTTAAGATTAGGAAAGATAACAGAAGAGTAAGGCATCCGGAAAGTTAAAGGAAGAAAGTCAGAAGAAGTCAGGTTATATGATTGGCAGGTGATGTGTGCAGTCATTAATCATTTGAGAAGTAGGGAGAGGAGCAAAGCAGGAACTCTTCGGGCTGGGAAAGTGGGAAAGTGCTCACCGCTTAAAAAAAGAAACCAATTTCAAACCTAAGACAGTAGGAGAACCACTCTATTATCCTTGAGAACTCCCCTGTACTAGAAAAAGCACAATGAGTTAGTATCATTCTGTTAGCTCTTTTATCCATTAGCTCACTTTATATTCCCAGCGATGCCTCTCTCTGCGCCATTCTTGTCTGTATCCCAGGGTGGTATAAGGCACGTGACTATACTTCCAAGAATCCCCTGCCAATAGGAGGCACCTGTGAGAGGTTGCAGTGCGGCGGGAGGAGAAAGCTTTATTTGCTATGGTGGCACTGGCTGCAGCATGGTGACGGCAGAGGGTTACAGAGAGTGGCACCAGCACAGGTGATGGTTTGAGCAGCTTCACCCTGGGTTTCTGTGCAGCGGCACCTGGGGCAGTTATGTGGGGAGTGTGGGCTTCCAGGCTCCAGGCTAGGGGCCGTCCCAGCTTCCTGATCTCCAGGTAGCATCGCCTCCCTTTTGCTCCAGAACACCTCCCCCTTCTCCCTCACACCCCTCTGGTTCTTTCTTCCAACACACTTGAAACCAGCTCTTGGCATAAAGTCCCTCTCTGTTTGAAATATCTGGAGAAGTTTCTGCCTTTTCAATTGAGCATTGCAACATGTACTTGGGCCGTGGTGCTGGTGGCCTCCTGCCTATCTGAGGAGATTAGTCTCTGCTTGCTGGAAGTCCTATTAATGCAATGCCCTCCCTTGAGGTGGGTACCTGGCGAAGGAATGCTAACCTGAAGAACTGCCTCTCACTACCTGCAGTCCATAATTTGAGTCAGATGCCAGCATGCCCCAGGGAAACAACTGCAAAACCTGATTTGGGAGATGTTCACACAGCTAAAGGAAGTATAGAATATTAATTCATTTTTAGCAGCAGAAACCTAGCGGATATATGGGGAATGGATTCTAATGGTGTCAGTCCAGAGGATAACATTGGATCAGGCTGAATTTATCAATAAGCTGACTTACCAGAGATGCTGGATTCAGTGTGTTTGCTCCAACAGCTGGGAATGGCTCCAACAGTTGCTTAGCTAAGCCGGTGGCATGAGGTCTGGACTGGAGTGTCCTGCACTTTTTTTTTTTTTACTTTTAGAGACGATAATAGATCACATTTGAGCAAGGTGCTCTGACCAATTTATCAGATAGCCCCAAAGATATAGTGGTATTCAAGGTGTCCATGACAGATCACACTCTTGTGAATTCTGGCAGGGCCCAGTATGAGAGTTACAGCACAGACTCCAAGGCATTTGGAGCAAAGATATACCCTCTTCTGTAAATAACTATTCATTTCAATAACAGCTTCAGATTTGCCACTGGGCGCTGGTCGAGATCAAATGTCAGACTCTGAGACCCCAAATGAGTGTGTGACCTGAACTGGTGTGATGTGACCCATTGAGCCACACACCACACTCCATTGTCAAGGGGAAGACCAGCCTGGAGCAGCTCCCAAGAGCACAAATCACACAAGCTGGTGGCTCAGACTTCCATGGCACCTCCTCCCCCACTCCCTGCCACTGTGGCTTCATGGAGATTCTCCATGGGCAGAAGAATGGAAAAGAAAAATGGCAACCCAGTTAACAGATTGGTTTGTAAATATGCCAGCACCAGCTTGAAGTGGAATGTTGTAGCACAACAGCTTCATTCCAGAGTGGCTGAAAGGGAGAGGCGAGGGAATTTCCCCAGTGGCCACTTGCCTGGACAGAGAGAAAGCCGGAGGTGTCAGATCTACACCAGTTCCAGTACAGTAGCTAACAATTTGACTGGAGGGCCAGGAACTTGGAAAGAACAAGTTTGAAGACTTAAAGACAGGAAGGTCTGGGGAAGGGTGTGTGGATGGGCCTCTCAGAATAGGGAGGGATGTGAGGGTGTCCGTGTCCCATCTGGATGCTTCTCCCTCACCTGTCTGCTTCTCCTGTTTCCATTACTGCTGGGACCCTGTCAGCATTCGCATTTGTGACCCTGACTTAGGACATTGCTCAAGAGTGATCTTTTTGGCCATAGGTTTCTCCCACTGGACTAGCACAGTTTCACGTAAAAACATAGGAAGTAACCCATTCTAATAAGCTGACACCTCTACTACTTACTCACTCCCTCAGTGTGACTCTCAGTTTCCCTGTCTGTGAAACAAGGTCAGTAGCATCTGCTCCCAGCATTGTTGAGAAGCTCCTGTGAACTCTTAACATGTAAAGCCCCAGGCAAAAAACACAAACGTTCCCTTCTCCAAGAAGGAGGAATAACCAAGGTTGAAATGAATTTGGGATGGAATTAGGAAGCAAGATTTTAAGAGCTGAGGCCACATCTTATTATGCTTTGCATGCCTAGAAGTGCTTAATAAATATTTAATAATGATAATAATAATCATTTAGCTTGATGGAATATAATTATATAAATTGTGAAAATAAATTATGCCAGGCTGTCATTAT